GACACTTCCCCAAGAGAGTTTGAGAAACTTAACTTGTGTACTACGACTTCTCCTTTATTAAGAAGACGACAAATTGAGATTAGTAGTCCAGGTTGTAAAACCGAACAGCTGGTTGCTACCAGCTCATTGCCACGAGAGAAGTCATATCAGCTGTCTGGAATAACAAACTCACTAGAAAATGGAGTGAGCCAACAATCCTATGCTGAATATGTTTCTCAGACAAGTACACAGCTTGAGATAACCATTGATAAAAATAACCCTCTCACAAGAGTATCAGAAGTGGATAAATTGAGAGACAGCAAATTCCTCAGTTCAAGGCACGAAGATGGTTATGAATTGGGATTAGGGAAACATCTTCATCCTTTGGAGGTACATTCTCCAATTTAATACTGAAGTCTTTCCTCCTGCTTTCTGTCCTTTAGTATTCTTTCATGCTTTTTTGTTCTAATTTTTGTTTTCTTCTTACCTGATAAAATATTTTAAATACTAGACAATACATTGTCCCTTGCAGGCATTTTAAAAATAGTTAGATCCTACTACTTATGACATTGTGACTTGAGTGTAACTGACTGGCTTAAGTATTTAACATGTGAACTTTACAGTAGGTTAGCATGCTCGGTTTGTGGTGTTGTCCATGAACTAAAGAACAGTCATATATAGCCCAAAGATTATCATTAAAATTGCACTACATGTATATAGACGTACACAAATCAAGATGACCAGATTTGTATGATATATTTACAGGTTATTCCTGCAGCCACGTATTACTGTATATCAAAAGACTGCTCCTGTTTAGAAACATTTTTTCCAGCAGCTTATCCCATTCTTATCCCCTTTCTTTTTATAATTGATAGCTATGGAACATGCTTAGCCTTCAGGATGGTTTTTGAGATTTTTCCTCTTCAGACAGTTGTGTGTACTCCTGTAAACACTGGGCTTCCTCGGAGCCTACTGAGTTTTCCTTCTTATTTTTTATTAACCCTGATTTGGCTGCAATCCCATTGGACTATTTGAGTTTTTTATCAGACAAGTTGCATACTTGAGACAATAGGCATTCTTTTTTTTAAAAAAAAAAACACTTCGCCTTTACTCTTAAACACTTTGCATTTACTTTGATTTTATTGCATGGTCTCTTCCAACTCTATGATTCTGTCATTCTACTCTTCAAATGCCTCCCATATTGTCAACGCTAATAAATATGGCTGATTCATGGTGTTTACTATTCAGATTCTACATTCCTGTGGGATACATCGATAATACTACTACTTCTAATTATAGTATCTTTCATAATGTTAAAAAAATTCCTATTTGCAGATAGTGAACAACAAGCAGTATGGTGTACATGCTGACGTGACTTCATTAAATCAAGAGAATGGCAAGAAACTGGGAAATGAAGGAAGATTCCTTGAGGCGTACAGATCATCAGAAGGGTTTAGGAGTGAAGATAAATCAAAGAGGAGTTCTATCTTAGAGGCAAAGCAAGCCAAGGAGGTTGATATAATTCCCTCTGAATATGATAATATAAAATTTCAAGGTCTCCGACATGATGTAACTGCCAAGCAGCTGATTGAAGTCCAACTTCTAGACATGAGCACTGCTGAACAGCTTCATACAGGGAAGAAATCTGTAACTGAGGTTCAAAAATTTCTTGAGACATTTTTAACAAAGCCTACTGCCATAGCGGGATTGTACATTGAAGCTAGCAAAGATAAGATGTCGTTTGCTTCTGCAGCTAAGCAAAGAGTCATGGAAAGATCTTCAGTGGTCGGATTGTTAGAAGCTCAGGCTGCCACTGGTTTTATCATTGACCCTACCACAGGCCAAAAAGGCTCTGTTGATGATTCAGTCATCAAGGGACTTGTTGATCAAGACTACAAAAGCAGGCTTCTTGAGGCAGAAAAGGCAGTTTTAGGATATGTCTTCTCTGGGAAAAAGCTCTCTGTGTATCAGGCAATTGAAACCAACATATTGGAAAGGCAAAAAGGGAAAAATATTCTTGAAGTTCAGCTTGCAAGTGGAGGAATTATTGACCCAGTGAGGAGTGTCCGCATCCCTCCCGAGGCTGCAGTACAATTGGGCTTGCTGAATAACACCATTCTGAAATTTTTACATGAACCATCCAGTAACAAAAAAAGCTTCCAGAATCCTAATAATAAGCAAGCCATGTATTATAGTGATTTGCTGAAGTTGTGTTTGCTTGATCTAGATAGTAAATGCTTTCTGCTTCCTGTTGGGGAAAGAAAAATCACCACTCCATCAGCAGAAAAAATTCATAAAATATCTGTCATTGACTTTAAAACAGGAGCTGAAATGACCTCATATGAGGCCTACAAAAAGGGCCTGATTGACAAAAATACCTATCTTGAGTTATCTGGACAGGAATTTCAGTGGAAAGAATCAACATGTTTTGATTCCCAAGGCAACTCTTACCTTGTGCTAACAGATCTGAAAACTGGAATGCAGTTCAATATTGATGAGGCATTAGCTGATGGTAAAGTTGACAGATCACTGGTCAGTAAATACAAGGAAGGGCAAATAACAGCCAGTGAGTTCGGTGACATTTTGTTGAGCAATTCCAAACCACTTACAGACCTGAACAGTCCCATTGCTGGTGTATGGTTGTCTGAGACAAATGAAAGAATGTCTGTTTTTAAAGCTTCCCGCAGAAACCTGATGGATAGAACCACAGCATTGAGATGCCTTGAAGCACAAGCTAGTACTGGAGGTATAATTGATCCATTTACTGGGAAGAGATATTGTGTGTCAGAGGCCATGCAAAGAGAGCTAATTGATGAGACATCTGCTAAGCACGTCAAGCAATGGGAACTAGCTTTTACTGGGATTATCCATCCCATAACAAAAAATATTATGTCAGTCACTGAAGCTATTAACGTACATGTCCTGGACAAAGAAATGGGCACTCGCTGCCTGGAGTATCAGCATCTGACTGGTGGATTGATAGACCCTAAATCGCATGCTAGATTATCAATGGAAGAAGCAATTAAAAATGGTGTAATTGATGCTGTTACTGCAACAAAATTGAAAGATGACAAATTCTACCTTAAAAGTATTACATGCCCTAACACAAAACGGAAATTGACATATAAAGAGGCTCTCGAACGAGCAGTTTTTGACTGCCACACAGGGCTACGATTATTAGAAGCAGCTGAGCTCATTTCCTCTGGGATTTCTAGCCTGTATTTTTCTACACAGTGATAATTTAACAATTTGAGGCTGTAATTCTATATCGACTTTCCTAGAAATAACCAGGGGTTGCTGTTCTGCAGTAATGCAAACAATCTGCTTTATGGAAATTATTCCCTAGAATTTTATTGGTTTATAAAAAGGGGGTTTCTGGGAAGACTAATTTCCAAATAGAGCAGAGCATGTCAACTTTGTGTATAATAATCTGCATGATTTAGTACAGTCCATTATTGTAACCATAGTGCATGAATTGGTCAAACTTAAGCACATTTCTCTTTCATTGATTGAAGATGATACTTTGTCTGTGTCATATTGAAATCATGGGACTTACATTCACAAACTATATCCGGATTACACTCCTGCTTTATAAAAGAGATATCAGCTGCTTTATGTATATAAAAAGCTAAACTTGGGTGCATTGTGGTAGGAATGTTTTATAGTGAAGGTGTTGTTTTGTTTTTGAGGATGGGCTCCAAGGAGATGGACTGTCCATTCTTTTTGGGAAATCTTTTGAAGTTAAACAGTTTGTCTTTTTGACATAACATGAGATACAATCCTTAAAACATTAGTTTGAAGTATTATAGCAAGCATGATAACTTTCCCACTGAAATCAGCTGTAAATGAGTGCTATGTTGTTCTCATATTGATGTGATAACCAAATGTGTGTAAATCTGCAAGGATTCAAAGTCCGGTATCAAAAATAAATATGTTTGAAAACAATGCTTGTTTCTAGGTCTCTAGTTTCGAGTGATAAGGAATCTGGTACAGATTTTTAATATTCTTGAAATAGTGAAGTTGTAACCTTTTTTTATATGGACGTATTGCACATTGTGATCAATGGTCTTGTTCCTTTGTAAGTTTTTTTTTTAAATTGCATCCTAAGCTATATGACTTTAAAACTGAGTGGAGACAAACATTTCAGAGAAAAGTGTTGACTTCTAGTTTTCACATTTTGTCTCATGATTCTTTACAAGTTTACATGATTTGGGGATGTCAATCATTTGAAGCCATATGACTGTGAAATGGTTAAAACTATAACTCTCACTTGACATTTCATTAATCTAAAGCTTGGAGTTGCGGTGGTGCAATGGGTTAAACCCTTGTGTTGGTTGAACTGCTGACCTGAAGGTCGGCGGTTCAAATCAGTAAGACAGGGTGAGCTCCCATCTATCAGCTTCAGCTTCTCATGTGGGGCATGAGAGAAGCCTCCCACAGTATGGTAAAACATCTGAGCTTCTCCTGGGCAGACAGCCAGTTCCCTCACACCAGAAGCAACTTGCAGTTTCTCAAGTTGCATCTAACACAAAAAAAAAAATCTGAAATGATAAACATTTCAAATATTATGTTGAGAACAAACCTTTTAAGTATTATACATTACTAAAATTTAGTAACCTCTTCAATATCATGTTGTCTACATTGGGGTGTACATCTAATGCAAAGACATGAGGAATAATTTTCTAGATCTTTACGGTGCAGTGGTGGATGAGAGTTTTCTATCGTGAATTTCATCAGCTGTATATATCTGCGTTTGCCAGTATGCATCATAACTACTCTTTTGACTTTTTTGCAGATGTTTGAAATGAATAATTTGGTTAATGCCTTTAAAAAATTATTAGCCATTTAAAAAAATGTATTGGAATGATATGGTGATAACTGGATTTTAAACTAAATAAAGCTTCTCTAAACCTGGTATCTTTAATAGAAACCTCTTGAGATTATTGTACTTTTTGTGTGGCTTAAAAATAATGTCATGGCGATTTAAAACACCTTTTTTTACAATGCTGATTGTTCATCAGAAGTCAGTAGAAGAAGAAAAGAAGGAACACGTTGAAAAAGCTGGAGACTTACTGAAATGGGTATCAAATGTCACCAAGAGTCTCAGAGAAGGTGGTGGTGGAAGACCTGAAAAAGCAGATTTACTTAAGAAACAGGTATTACAATTCTGCTTGAGAATATATAACAATGGCTGCACGAGCCTGCTTTTTGGCCTTGTTCTTTGTGTCTGCCAAACAGGCAAATATGACTGACACACACAAAAAAGAGAAATCAAGGAGCATGCTATTTATGTTCTGCGTTGGACTCAGAAAGAATCTTGATTGGTTTAGAAGTGTTTAAAAGAGATATTCGTAGCAGTAGTTTTAAATTTGTCAGACATTTTTCTGAAAGCAACATCCAAGTTTATAAATAAAAACCAAATTCAGACAATGCTTTCGCTTCCCCTTTCTCAACCTGTGAGTGTGAAAATGATGTTCTTCACTTTGCTCTGGATATCTCTACATTGGCATAATGTTCTTTCATGCGCACATGTTGGTATAATACAATAAATTAGTCATCTTTTGTGTTGAATTTTTTTTATAGAAAATGAACCACACAGTTTAGATTTGCATACATTGTATTTTAAACATACAACTTACTCAAATTTAGTTCAAATGTTATATATCAAGGTGGCAGGGAATATTTTGTCCCTGTGGTGAGGAGCCACATAGACTAGTGAATCAATTTTACTGGGAGCAGAATAGAGCCAATGCCTATTTCTCCTGAGAGAACCAATTTAAGTACAAGTGACTACACTATCACAGATAAATTTTCTTGAGGATTTTCACAATCAGCTGTAGCTTCCTAACCATAGGTGATACAAAACTGCACTGTCCCATACCGAGGGTATAAGCATTGTAAGGAAGAGACATAAACACTGGCCATTTCTGCTTAATGGTACAATTCAGTATACAAAGGCTGCATTCCAATAAGAGTTGTACAGAAAGATGAGGAGGGAGACTTACATGTGTCTCCACTGGAGAATTACCACTTTCAGTGGATACAAGAACTAGAATTAGGATTGTACAAATATACTTTTTGTTCAATATCATTTTATGTAAATTTAGGTGCACTGCACTGAGGAAGTATATCTTACTCCCTCAGTAAAGGTTTACTATACAAGTCACAGTATCAGATTGTGAGTCTACATTAAAGCTAGCCCTTTTGTTGTTTCTCTAGAGTGCCCGCTTGCATGATACCTCCTGCTGTTGGGCCAGAGTTCCCCGAACTCCATACTATTGAATACACAGCCCTTTGTTTATTTATTTTTTTGGTGTCTTGGTTTTTAGGCCTATTCATGGGGTTGTTTGGGGCACTGATGCAGAACATTGCATTGGATAGACTGCATCAACTCTAGTTTTTTAGATAATGTTACCATGATTTTCCATGGGCGACTAAAAATTAAGATTGATAAATGACATATGTTCTGTATCTCAAAAACTAGAGCTGATAGGGGAAAACCAGGGCAATTTTTGGAATCAGCAGATCAGATATACCCAGAAACAGGTCTAACATTTGAGGCACCATAATGTATGTTGACTAGTGCTATGGTGTCCTAGACTTACAGAATTTATAATCCAACTATATTTGGAGGGTTGCATGATGTCTGCCTTGCTGTGAAGTAAATGACTTGATTGATCTGTAGCACATTTAGTTAAGAACTGTCTCAATTATGTAAAGTTCATATATTCCAGCAGATCATATATATAGTTGTACACACTAGTTTAAAAAGAACACAGAAAGTAGCATTTGGTGTGCTTGAGCAAAAATATGAAACGTTTCAAAGAATCGCAGCCTACTAGAGTATCTATTTTCGAATGTCAATATTAACCAACAGTCCTCTGAAGCTATTTTAATTGGTGAAGCACTTCATTAAGATCAATTGTTGATAGCTTCTCATTTGAGTGTGCATGTGCCTTCGAGTCTCCTATTGATTTGCAGTGAACCTATGAATTTCATAGGATTTTCTTAGGCAAGGGATTTTTTTCCAGTTCCTTCCTCTAAAAAAAGAGATGTTTTGCCAGTTCCTTCCTTTAAAATATAGCCTACAGCAGCTGGCATTCCTTGGCAGTCACCCACACAAGTATTAACCAGGGTTGACCCTACACCATTTCCAAGATCAGATAGGATCTGCTGTATTTAGGGGTACTTAGAGGAACATGGAAAACTATCATCCTTTGTATTAAAAGAAAAAATTCTCTGTAATCACAATTTATGTTCGGGTATGAAAAGTGTAGGCAACCTGTGGCCTCTTGTTGCAGTTTTCAAGAACAGTAGCCCCATAATTTTCACACACAAAAAATAAGATTCATAGGTTTTGTAGACAGGAGTACCATTACATGCTACAAAAGCTAAGAGAGATCTAGGAAAATACCCTTCCTTACTGTGTTCTATTAAAAACATTATATTAGAAGCACAATAAAACATAGTAAAAAGATAACTGTCTAACACACCTCAATAAAGAGATCCTTTTCTCACAATAACCTAAAAAATCGAGAGGTCTGCCTAAATAAAAAGCCGTTTACGTGCACTCAAATGTAACAATGAGTTTTCAGGCAAAGAGAGTAGACAGGAGGAGACTGACTCCTGTGGGAGGGAAATTCAGAGGACGGGAGTTGCCACTGAGAAGACCTCTCCTTCGCCCTCACCAAATCACCTGTGATGATGGAAGGATATAGAGAAAGTCTCCCTCTGAAAATCTTAAAAGGAAGGCTCATAGAAGCATAAGATATTTTCTGTATACATCCTTAGAGATCTGAAGGCATATAAAGGAGCATTTGTTCATATTTTGCCTTTTGCTTGAATCCATATCCATCCGACATTGGTTCTTATCATTTTAATCTTCCATTGCTATTTCTGATGATAGGTGATTAAATATACAGTTGTTTTGTCTGATCTAGGGAAAGCTATGTTTGATATAGTTTGGAAATCTCTGTCTTAGAATAAGACAAAAAGAAAAATCAATTCAAATTAGTTTTGTCTGTCCTGGAAAACAAATCCACAGATTAAGCAGGATGATACATTTTTTGAACTAACTAATATTTAATATTTTAAATGCTAGCAACTCAGAGACACTTGCAATTGCAAGGTGTAGTAATAATAGGAAAGCATTCTTAGAAAAAGTAAAGCCACCTGCCCAAGTTGTTCTTAACCTAGCACACTAAATTGCACAAAAGACAGAACAGCTGACAGATGTATTTCAGATATGTTTTAACTTCGTGCTTTTAAAAGAATTGCATAATTATTTTGAAACTTATATATAATACATTTTAACTATTTTAATTCATTTCATTTGTTGAATGCCTCCATGGGTCCACATTGTGAGAAAGGCAGACTATAAATAAATAAACTTACATACAAAATTATGTTACATATAAGACTATGACAAAGTGCGTATATTTTCTATACAGCCATTCTTTAAGCTTTCCTGGAAGTAATTCTTTCGGAGTTCAGTAGCTTACTTCCAATTAACTGGGTGTGGGATTCCAGTCTTAGTACTTGCTTTAGAGCAGTGGTTCCCAACCTTTATTTGGACCAGGGACCACTCTCCAACATTAGTACCAAAAAGAGTTACAAATTAGTTTTTGGTCAACTTTAGTTTTGGTTTGGTTATTTGGAGTGCTGATACAGAAAATGGCATTGGCTAGACCATATTAGCTCTAGTTGGTGATACGGAACATATGCTATGCAGTAGTTGCCATCTGCTCACCTACAGAAAACCATATTTAATAATCTAGAGCTGATGTGGTCTATCCAATACAATTTTCTGAATAAGCACCCCAAATAACCCCAGGAATAGGCCTAAAACAAAGACACCAAGGTGCCTCCGCTTCCAGGTGCTACATGGAATGGCTCTGCTCAGGGACAGGGAGGAGGAAGAGAAGCAGCATTCAGTAGGCGTGTTGTCATGCCTTTCGTGGGTAGTCAGCCTCTCCCCTCCCAACATCCCTGTTACCTCAGCACTATAAGAGGGTTTCGCAAGACCAATCACTCTTGTTACAACAGTGTAGCAACTGTGCAGCTGTGGATCATATTTCAGTTCTTGGGGACCACTGGTGGTCCACGGACCACAGGTTGGGCACCACTGCTGTAGAGGAGGTCCATTCAGTCTCAGAGTTCTGGCTTTCTTCTGTGCAGAAATGCACAGCTTTGCTCATAATAAATGCAATATATGTCCTTTACCATTATTGAAATGCTCACACTCACCAATCCCTATATTTTATGTCTCTTGCTTACATATCTTTGTTGATTGGACTTGTGCAAACTTAAATATTTTCCTTTCCCCCCAGATATCTGCTGATGATCTATCTATGAAGAAAGAACAGATATCAGAAGCTTTACAAACAACACAAACATTTTTAGCAAAACATGGCGATAAGTAAGTTTATTGTGGTTATTGTGCACACTAACCCTGTTTTGAAGTTAGAGGTACTATTTCTGATTAATAAATTATTATTATGCTTCAACCATAAGCATTCACATACAAATAAAAATACAATATAAAAGTCCAGTACTATAAAACAATATAAAAATACTTCAAAAAGTAATGGGTATTTACAATTTGCTTATTAATATTCAATACTATTAAAATACAATATACTATATTAAATATAAACAATGGTTTTAAAATTTAGATTCAATAAAATTGAGTTAGGTTAGAGCATCCCCATAACAATCCAATGCAATATCAACGATACTTACATTTTCATTGCTATCAGGCAAAAAGAGAAATCTTGTGAGTTATCATTAGTAGTAACATTGAATTTTGAGGTATACAGAACCTGTGCTTAGGCTCAAAATTTAAGAGCTCTGAAACTTGGTTATTTTGAAACCACAACTTGATGTTTGCATTAACCATGGCAGGAGAACTACAGGACTTTGACTGCCATGTTTAGGCAATTTTCCCTGTATATGACACCCCCACCCACTATATTCATTAATGTAATACAGAGCATTTAGGTTAGTCTTCTGTCTGTTATGCGGTTAGGCTAATAGAAATGTAAGCTGAAATCTTCTTAACTATAGGACCTACCATCTGCTATTATCTTCCAGTGAAAAGTTGCATGAGACAGTCTTTACTTGTCTTTAAAAGTCAACTAGGCAGGCTTTCCCTGTAGATAGACCTTGAAGCTGTGGGTTTAGTTTATCATGGTCTACTGAACTGCAATAGATTCTTCATTGATTTCCTTTGGCTTTACATCATGTTGGGCTATCAATATGAATATTTCCTATCTCAGTCTTGCATGGAGGAATTAGGAATTTCACAATTGGCAACACAGGAGGTTTTTTGCACACTTTTGATGATGTGTTGCATTTCAAGACACTCTTCCGAAACTTGTTTCCGCAGCCCCCAGCAAGGCTTTTACACAAAACCAGTGAAGTTTTCTTTATTTATCGCTAATACAAAAGTATTGGGATTTTGCCTATAACAGTATCTGCTGCATAAATGTCTTGTGTGCAAAAAAGTGAAATAAATATTGTGGTGACTGATTTTTTAAAATGAGGGCAATGTATTGTTTTTCGTTTTAATACTCTTCTCCTCTGTTATAAGTTTCTCCATATTATTCTGTATTATTTTGATATGTTTTGAATTTATTAAGGCATTGAATATTTGCCTCTTTTTGTATGTACATTTCCCTGAGTCCCCTCAGGGAGAGAGGACAGTCTATAAATAAAGTATATTATTATTACTACTACTACTACTACTACTACTACTACTACTACTATCTCAGTATGTCAAGATTCACAAGATCCTCACTTTTTTGTATCATGCTTTTTGTGTATGCTGAGAATCATTAAATGTTTGTAAACTTCTAGCATATCCATGCATATCTTTTTTTTCATAGAATGACAGAGGAGGAGAAAAATGAAATGGAAAACCATGTTAAGTCCCTACAAGAAGGCTATAAACTATTATCCAATGAAGATTTGAAACAATTGCAGGAGGAACAAAGTATAGATGATGAAAGAATGGATGAAAAGGTATCCCACAGTCTGTGTTATATTCCTAGCTATGAAATATGTTCTGAGTTTGATGTATTGCATGGTTGTGGAATTCTATTAACATTAAAAAACCAAAACTGCATTGAACTGTGTGAATTATAGAATCAAAATAAGAATGTGTTAACTGTCAGCTTTCAATCTAATTTTGTATTTATTTAATTCGGAGTATTGTTGGATGTGTATAAGTGAAAATACTGAGATTTAATATATGGACAGGCTTTTCTACGTTATGCATTGCATGAACTAAAAGTGAAGAACCATACATCACTTAACCCTTCTTTTTAATTACCATGCTTTGAAATCCATCAAAATTTCTGCTCTTTAAAAACATGATACCACATGAAAATTCCGTATGTTATACAAGTTATATTTTGAAAGTTCATTGGTTTATAAGCCAAAATAAATTTGGAGTCTAGACTCATTTTTATCTATGATTAATGTCCACTGTTTACCTATGAGAGGAATTGCAAAATATCAACAAATATAGGGATTATTGTGCATAAAATTTTTAAAGTTGCTCCCAGTTTATGATTTTCAGTGCAAACCAGGTGCCATCCGTTCAAGTGGATACAATACTTGACTCTTGTTGTTTGGATGTGTGTCTACAAGTGCTGTATGCTGTAAACATGAATAGCATGTGTGTTTTTGTACCACTTACTGTTTTCAGAATAACCAAAACTCTCACAAAGCACAGAGTTAGCATGACAGTTTGCCTTCCAGGTACTTGTCCTCTTTGCTCACTATATGACCATCGATTCTGTTGTCTTTCACTAACTATAATTGATGTATGCAGAACATAGGCTTTTGATTCACTGATGCATGTTGTGCTCCAATCTTTTATCACACCGTGTGCTGTTGAATCACTGACATAGATCATTTCTGCATTGAGCTGCTAACATTCACAGTCTTGATCCAACCTTGGTAAGTAAGTAATTTTATGTTGTATATGGATGAATATTACATTTCAAAAATTTGAGTTGTTACAATATATAAAACATTGAAAAATCATATATTTCTTCTCTTAGGTGGACAAAGTTATAGCTGGCATCATTGATCAAACCACCGGAGAGACATTTTCAGTCTTGCAGGCAGTTTATAAAGGACTTCTTGACTATGACACTGGAATTCAATTACTTCAGGCCCAGCTCATTTTATCAGGTTTAATTTCACCAGCTCTGAGAAAGTGTTTTGACCTTGAAGAAGCAAAAACTAATGGACTTGTTGATGAACAAGCTATAATACAGCTACAAGATTTGCAGAATGCCAAGTCAGTCCTTTCAGAATTGGAGTTGACAACACACCCAGTAGCTGCTGCTTTGGAAAAGAGTCTAATTTCAGAATCTTTGGCTATTAAAATTCTTGAAATCCAGCTTTCCACAGGGTATATAAGAATATCGGGCACAGGAGAACATTTGACTTTGCACCAAGCTTTTCAGAAGAGCCTAATTTCTGCAGCATTATATACAAAACTCCTAGAACGACAGGACATGTGTAGAGATCTCATTGATCCCAACACTGCTGAAAAGCTCTCCCTTAAGGAGTTGCTTGACAGAATTGTTGTACATGAAGAAACAGGCTTGAGATTTTTACCTGTGATACCTCAAGAAGGAGGGAGGATAATGCTAAAATCTGGAAGGAAGATAACTATTTTGAGAGCAGCTCACGAAGGACTCATAGAAAGGGAAACCATGTTCAGGCTATTAGGTGCTCAGCTGTTTTCTGGGGGTATCATTCATCCTCACACAGGACACCGGATGACTGTTGAAGAGGCAATGGGAGAAGGGCTGATTGATCAAGATACTGCTTGTGCTGTTTTAACTCACCAGGTTCAAACAGGTGGAATCCTGTGTCCAAACTCATCAAAACGTTTGACTGTTGATGAAGCTGTACAGTGCAACCTGATCTCCTCTAGGAGCGCGCTGCTGGTTCTTGAGGCCCAGAGAAGCTTTGTTGGCCTCCTCTGGCCACACAATGGTGAAATCTTCCCTATCTCCACCTCCTTGCATCAAGACATGATCACTAATGAGGTGGCCTGCAAAATTCTAAATGGGAGGCAGAAAATAGCAGCTCTTTATATTCCAGAAACATGTGAAGTGATCAGCTTGGAGAATGCTGCCCAGCAAGGAATCATAGATAGCAAAACATCGTCAATTTTGTGTAATGTTACGCTGCCTGATGAAATGCCAAATATGGACGATATACCATTCTCTTTGAAGAAAGCTGCAAGATGGCTTTCATCTTGTGAACTCCATCCATCTATCCATCACAAGCAAAGCAGGGATATAGATGGTACTAATACCAGTGATCCAAAGCAACACCACTTTCAACAAACTCAAAAGCTATTCATGTCTTACCTAATGATAAATAGCTACATGGATGCTAATTCGGGCCACAGGCTTCTTTTGCATTGTGGTGACTTAAACGAAACTGTCAAGTGGTTAATGAGTGGGAGTACTTCCCAATATAATATGGATGGGATAGAAACACAATCTTGTGATTTCTGTATGAACCCAAAAGCACCAGATCATGAGCAAAACTCTGAAAATATATCTAGCTGTATCACTGAAAGTGCTTTAATCCAAGAGACAGGAGTCCAAAACATTTCTAGGGATGATAAGAAGAAAGAACTTCACAGAGATGACCGGAACAGAAAGGAAAATAGTTTACCAGATATAACTGGTGTTTCAGACACGTCAGAATATGCTACAAATGCCTTATTTTCCAAAAAGGAAACTAAATTTGAAAAGGCGACCAATGCAGAGGGGAAACATGAAACAGAAAGTTTGCTAGACTCTTCTGAAGAAATAGCAGTGAAAATAGGGGGAAATGTAACTAAGGAAACAGATGCTGGAAATGATGAAGCAAGGGAATGCCCCTCAAATTATTTTCAGGCAAGCAATCCTTCAATAATAAATAAACATAAGATTGACATGGTAGAGGGAGAGAAAGTCAAAGAGAACGAAAACAGTATGTCAGTCATCTTAGGCAACCATTTAGATGCTAGTCATTTCCCAGATATTAAGACTGAAGGAAAAGCACAAGACATCTCTGTTTCACGTCTTATGGTCACTAATGCACAGAGAGACAAGTGTCAGAGTTTTCAGACTGAAGAAGAAATTGTGTTGATGGAAGATGATGCAAAAGATGAGTTTTGTGATAGCACTCTAGAACCTGGTAGTAAACCTTTAAAAACATGGACTCAGGAAGATTTGGAGCCTTATACTGGGGATAGGTTGTTGCAGTCAGAAATTAATAATGCTCCATTGCTTCATAATTCCAATAAGAATAGTGGATGTCCTTTGCAAGGTTTTATTGATACAAACATCAATTTAGTGCTGGAAGACAGTCCTGTACTATATGATGCATGCCCACCAAAAGATTCCCATTATATTAATGATAGACTACCACAAGATCTTACAGAATATGTCAGCCCATCATTGAAAGACACTGCAAATAGATTTACTTTGCAAGATAAATCATCATTGGAAACAGATCATATACCACATAGTACAGCTCAAAATAATCAAAGCATGCCAGTGCTAGAAAATAATTATCCTGATGTTAATCCAGTGTATGAAGGCAATATGGGTTTGATCAATGGATTATTAAAGGAACAGCAGACTGAAACTGAAAATGAGGACTGTATGGAAAAAAGTATTACTACCAGAAACAAACAGCAACTCATAGAGCCAGCTGATTTACACAGAACATCTCATACCAATGTTGATGAGGCTCTATTGTTGAAATATAAAGATGATAAATCTATCAAACCAATTCAAAGACTTTCCCTGGAAGATGCCATTGATAGAAATATTGGTTCCATATCTGCAGACAGTTTTGAATTTTCTGATGAAACATCCATTAAAATCACTACTGAGAGGGAACCCAGAATGTCACTGGAAGTTAATAATGGACTGGAGAATAAAGAGCTATCTCTGAGTGACTATCAACCAGGAGGTGCACCTGGCAGCTTGCTTCTGGAGGGAAGCAACATTATTCCACTAGTGCCACTGCATGAAAGAGAATGTCGTACTTCAGAGCCAGAAAATGACAATGACTATAAATATAGCACAGGGCACTGTCCTACAACTCTGCATAAAGATGTCAGTGAAACTTATGATACTACACAGACCCATCATAACAATGGAAAGGCCTGTAACTTGGCAAAAATGGAAAAGAGTGACTCCTCTGCTGTTGAGGAAGATGTTACTCCAGAGCATGCCAACAAAGCCATAAAAAGAGCAGGAGAAAAGCCAGGGCAAAAAGGTACAAAATATTCTCAGGTCAACCTGAATGAGAATGAGGAGAGTATTCTGTGCTTTAGTGAATCAAGTGACACTGAGATTTTTGAAATTGTAAATGTTGGAGCTTTCAGCGCATGGTTACTAAATAGTACTCAATGTAAGGTGGAAGGTACTGGAGATGTAGAAAAGAAAGATGAGAAAAAGGAAAGTGACAATAGTGAAGGAAATAACCTCTCCCATGAAAAGTTACAGGAAGCTGAAAATCAAAGAGTTGGGCATGAGAAAATCAGAATGAAAGAAGGTGACTCTGATGGGAGTGAATGTGAAAGCGTATGTATTGATAGTGGGAATAGCGATTATGATGAAAATACTAATAATGTTGAGGGAGAAAATAGTGGAGATGAAGATGATTTTGAAGGTTATGATTATGTTGATTTTGATTATGATACTTCTGATACTACAGATTATGAGGATGAGGATGTGATGGAAATGCATTATTCTCAGTGCAATCCTGAAAAGATTGGAGCACAATGTTTTGGAGACAACGGAAAACAAGTTTCAGACAAGAATATTTATCATGAAAATAATTTGCACATGGATTCAAAAGATGGCTTCCCCTGCTTTGAAAACTATAGTGCTTCCAAAAACCAAAATAAAGCTGATATTACCAAAGAAATTATTTATAGCCTATCATGTAAAAGTAAAGGTGAAATACTGCAAGACGATGATCAAGATCATGAATCTTTCTTGGAAAGTCAATTCCCTCCATTATGTACAACTAATGGTGTGACATTAAAGGATACAAGAGGAACAGATGATCAGCAGGTTGAGCCAGACATTCCTCCTCAAAACAACTTACATACTGATCACAATAAAGTTAAGTTTTATGATGACATATTAATGCCATGTTTCAATGATGAGAAAAGAAAGGAAGTTAATGGTGGAGCACTGGTACAAGCAAATAAACCACAATTAGGAATGGGAACTCCGGAACAAGGTAAAAATGGTGTGTGTGTTCTAAATGGAGATAAGATCCCAAAATCAAATGGAAGACCGGGTGAGACTTTCTCATCAGACATAAAAAATTGTTACAACAATATTCCCCCCTGTGATGGAAGAACAAATATTGACCAAATATCAGATAAAACAAAATCAGGCATGCACTCAAATGGCTTTCCTACTGATGAATCCATGGACAGTGTGGAGGATTTTGACCTTTCTACTTACTTAAAACAAAGTGCAAAAAATATCAATGTCATAGATATATTAGAATTGAGAGAAACTAACACATTGTACCTTACAAAACCTCAAGAGAATGGAAAAGATTTAGATACCATTAGCTGCAGAAACACTAAGGGAGATGGAGAGCACCATCCAAGAGAATTGAACTGCCAGCTGTTGTCATCTCTACCATCAGTTCCTCCAGAGCCTGTGTTAGTTAAAAAAAGAGAGGGTGCTGTTCATCCTGAGCTGCATCATGATAAAATCCAAAACTCCAAATATGACTTTAACAAGATGTCGCAACAGGATCATGAAGCAAGTAACAAAGATGAAACAAGTTCTAAGGATCAGGCAATAGGCTTATCTTACAATACATTAGGCACCATGGATGGTAGTTCCTACTGTGTGAAGCAGAAACCTGATGAAACATTGACTGCTCCTAGCAGCATAAGAACTCCTAAGGAAAACATACAACTGTTACAGAAAGATATGACATTTCTTAATTTTCCTCCAGTGAAGGAACAAGAAATGCATGTCTCTGTACAGCCACCTACATTACCTGAAGGCATAACAGATATAGTTAAAAGCGGTATGAAAGATGCCCATGTTTATTACAAGCGTGAAGATGAACCATTGAGTTACATTGGTACAAAAGCTTTAATGCAAAATTTATTGAAAATGATTAATTGCACACATCATGAGGATGAGGAGTCTAATCAATCTGAGATCAAACATACAAATGATAGTAGGACTATTTCAATATCCACTCCAATGTGTGTAAATACAAATGATAATTTTGCTCCAAATATTTGGATTGATAATAGAAGTCCTGACCTCCTCCTTGATATATTGAAGCAAGACCATAGCAATCAACGAGCTGAAGGTACACATGAGGCTGTGGATGATGTGGTCCAGAGTGGAAAAGATCCAGAGGAAAGAACCTCTGAGCTTGACCATACATTTTCCATCCCAGATGGGAGTGGACATTCATCAGAATTGAAATCAGAACATGCTGCAGGGTATTCTGATGCATTTGGTAAGATTCTTGATTTGAAACAAAATCACCAAGCTGAGCAACCAGTTTATCCACCAAACATCTACTCTGATGACATTATGGGAATGAAGGAATCTGTACCAGGATCTGACACAACAAGCATGGTAAGTAGCAACTCTTATAATTGTGTATTTAAGTCAAAGGCATGTATTTGGTGTATTTTGGTAGGGGTGCACTTATTCGCAAAATCAATTGCATGTACATTACCAATATGCTATGAACCACCTATCACAATACGACAAATGTCCCCTGGTTGGCAAAATGTTTAGACCACAAAAAAGAATAAATAAATTGAGCCTCCAGGTATAATTTAAAGGGTTGAGATATTTTGGGACAGTTGAATATAAATGAAAATATGTTTTGCTGCTTCTCTGTTGTTTAGTTGCAAGTGTGCTGAAATGACATTTTTTCAATACTATTTTAGCTATATAGTGGTATGCAACCTTGTTTGTGGTACATAGAAAATCTGAGAAGACACTTGACAGTGTTTCAAGATATGAAATTTCTCTTGGATGATTTCCAACCAATCAGTAATGATTTAGAAGCTCTCAAAGTGCAGCTAGAGCAATTGGAGGTAAGCTTATTGCATTTGTATAGGAATTTTATAGATAATATTGGTGCAGAAATGTTTAATTATTTGTCTGTATTCCAATTTTCTGAACAAACTAATACTTCTTGAGGCTCAACTTGAACAGACAAATATTCAGTATATCAACACAGCAAATTAGATATACATTTTGGAAGAATACTTGTTTTACACGACAGTAGCAGCTCGAATAGTTTATGCCAGATATTGGAAAACCCCAGAGATACCTCCTTTAAAAGAATGGGAAAAATATATTACAGATATGCTGATAATTGATAAAATAACTGTATTATTAAGAGGAGAACTATTGGATAACTTTGTTGATGAATGGCCACCAATGATTCAACTTCTCAATGTAAAATTAAACTAAAAATGTAGAGGATTCTAGAAGACTGTAGACAAGGAGGAAGCGGATGTTAACTAAGAATCTATGATATTTTTATATGTATTGTTTAGATAGTAGACTGTGACCCCTTAAAGGAAATATATTATTTGAAAAATGATTATGGAACACGAATAGATGGAAAGTATTGCACTGTATGCAAAAAACACTTGCAAATGTATGTCTATATGAATAAATAAATTAAAAAGGAGGAAAACTAAGTAATAGTTCCTCAACCCCTTCTCTTCCTCCTCCTCACCTTAACTTATTATCTAGAACTCAAGGTAGTTTGCAGTATTGAACAAATGCAGCATGGATATAACATGTATAATTAAAATGTAGTTAAACTATCTACAACATTACAAAAAACTTGAAACATCAATTAGAAAAAAAGTATTTCCCCTAAAAAGAGAAAATTACCAGAAGTCTGTAATTTTGTAAAAAGGCTTTGCCCCTCTTGACAGAACAACAAGGAAATGACCACTCTGGTCTCGAGGTGAGTTCTAACATCTAGGAACAGCCACCATGAAGACTTTCTCTTGCATTTTCATTTGCCTGTAAAGGTGACAGAAAATAGCAAGGAACCCCTTCTGATTTCAGGACCCTGACAGGTTTCAAATGAGGGAATATATTTGTTCACAGCATTTGTATACATGGAAGCCTGTTATCAAAAGCATTCCACGAGAACATAACCATCAATGACCTCCATTACCCAAATATCCATCTTTTAGATAACAGAATATGGAAATGTGTAAAATGACATTAGCAGTATTTTTGTTTCAGTGGTGGAGAGGGGGGAGGAAAACATTGGAAAATGAGAGATAGTGATTAGAGACACATACATAGTGCTATGTATATAGAGATGTGATAGTTTCATAAAACATGAGACATTTGAATCATATTCTTTCCCTTCTGCCTAGAAGCCCAGGGTAATGTAATAGAAATTATTACATATTTACAAAGCCATATGGTGTGATTTAATCTGAATTGAGATTTCAATACAGAGCATCCTTTTCAAGTCCTGCATTTTGTGCTGTTTGCCACATTTACTTTCATTGATCAAGAAATGTCATCCATCTCACTCTACTATACTCTGTTCTCTCAAATCTATGAATTTATTTGTTTTATGAAAATGAAATTTTAACCTTAGGTTTGTTTGCTTGTAGTCCTTTGAGTCAAGACTTGGTGGCTTTGCTGTTATTTTACACAAAGATATGAAGCTGGCAGAAGAGTTTCTAAAACTTCAGCACAAGGATGTTCCCAGAGAGCAGCTTCAAGATTTGAAAGAAACCTATGAATGTTTGGAAAATAATTTCTTGGTGGTCTGTGAGATGTCTTCAAAGCGAGCAAAGCAAATAGTCTTAGGAGTGGAGTCTGAAATGGTAGGTACACTCTTGACATTTTCTTTATTTGTATAGATCTTTAACTTATCCCACTCCAAAAACTCAGTCTTGGCGCATTAGCTTAAAACAAAATTAAATAAAATATATAGTAATACCCTGGATATTACTGGTACCCACAGTTTCACTTCCAATCTGCCGCTACTGACTAAAACCCCTCATTGCCTTTCCCTTAGGGAGATGGAGAGGGAGAGAAGCAGCACCATTGTCCAAGCCAAGAAAGAAACCAATGTCCTCTTACTGCGTTAGGAGAGGTGCATTGCTCCATGCCGTGCTGCCAGACTGCCCGTGTCTCATTGAGCTAGGAGACTCGGTTTCATTTTTCCAGTAGTAGAAGTGTGGCTGGGATGGCCATGCCTGTCTTGGCTGGGCTGCCTGCACTTGTAACAGCCAAGGAAGTACCTCCCATTAGGAGAGGTGTGGATTGGCTTTCCACTCCTGTCTCAACTCAGTAAGGAGCCTCCACTGTCTCACTCTCCCAGGAGAGGTGTGGCTATCCGCAACTAGGTTGTCCACATCTGTCTCAGGTGAGCAAGGAACCTCCACCCCCTGTCCTCACCAGGAGAAACTCTTGTCTCAAGCTGACCCTGCATTTGAGGGGAGCAAGCTGTATCCCAACTACTATGGCTTCTCTCTCCTCTGTGAAGCAATGTGTGAGCTTTGGGGGGAGGACACAATGCTATCTCACAGGAGCAGTATTTGTGGTTTCTTAGGGGTCTGCGAATCCATTCTGTTTTCATTTTGAATTTTGGGTGCTCCCTGTTCTGTCTGTTTTAGGGAAGATTCTGGGAGATTAGGAGAGGAATAACAATAACAACAACAACAACAACAACAACAACAACAACAACTTTATTTATATACTGTTCTATCTCCCCAAGGGGGGACTCAGGGCAGTTTCCAAGCAACATCACCAAAACATACAGAGTAAACAGCATAACAAAATTAACAAAACAACATAAGCATAAAACTGTTCAGATTCATAATTCAGAAGCTTGAATTCCCGTTTCTGTTTCGGGAAGAATTTTCCCTAAAGCAGAACTGGGGGGAGGGGAGGGGGCTCTGAAAACACAAAAGATTCTGTGCTGTTTCGAACATCCCTACTATCCATGATTGACAAAATATACCCTTTCTAGGCATTTCCTAGGTTCTCAAGTGTGACTCATAGTATTCCTGGCCTGTAGGACTTTCATTTCATTGGGGTTCACTATTATCTGCCATTTCGCATATCCATGTGAAGTTGAGGAACCTATCTCCTGCAGTTATAGGAATCAATTTGTGTTTTGACTCTGAGCTCAAAAATATAGGATTCCCTGTTACCCATAGTTTCATGTATCCACATGAAGTCCTGGAATGTGTCCTCCATGGTTATAGGAGTTAAATATTACATAAAGTTGTCCAATAGTTTGTAAATTTGATAATGCATTGTTCATGAGGGATTCGTGATTGCATTGTCCTTTGTATTATCAACATTACTTTAGAAAAGTTGGGAAAACCCATCTTATACAAGCTGCTTAAAACCAGTCCAATAGAAATTAATTTAAACCAATTGTTTATTTATAGCACACATTTACTGTGAAGGTAAACAATATTTAGTGGTGCTCACCTTCGGGCAAATGCACATAGGATTGTGCTTTGAATGATTGCTAAAGTGAATTGATAGCAGCCACATCAAGGGATATGCATGTGTGAATCAGCCATATGTGAATCAGCCATGTGTGAATCAGCCATGTGTGAATCAGCCACAAACACAGTGACTTCTTACTGTCTCAGACTCAGTGCTCTTTAAGATGAGTAGCTTTCATGTCCAGAGTCAGTCTTTGGTAAACTTCGGACTAATGAAACAATAGATGTTGTACCTGTATGTATACAACACCGTCTGTGAAGTCACCCTAAGTTCCAGTTTGAAAAGAAAGGAAGTTCTGTGGTTGTGAAATAGGAACTGAGATTTGAAAACAAATTGCCCCCCCTACATAATTTTGTTTGTGAAATTATCATAACTCCTTTATCCTTTTATGTGAATCAGAATTAAATAGACTTGACATGTGAAAATCATAGAACAGGAGTGAAGAATCTTTCCCATGAAAGGTCCATATTATTTTCCATGAAAGTATATAATTCATATAATTATAAATCAGTGAACATTAATATACAGTACAATAGTAGGTGAGTCAGACCCATATCTCTTCCCCTTTCTCCCCCATTTCCATGCTCCTTTTCTCCTCTTCTTTTTCTCTACTTTCCTAGCTATCTCTCCCCCCCCCCCCCCCAAACTCTTATACAGGTCAGGGAGAAGAAGGCTTAATTACTGTATGGAGCAGGTTCAAGGGAGAATGGGGTAACATGGGTTAGATTGGAAGGCCTGATTATTGTATACAGAAGATTTTTGGTGAAATGAAATATTTCGCTAGGGGGGAAACTCTTTTCTAAAACTATTTCTCTAGGCTAAACTTACAGCATTGCATCAAGAACACCTTGTCAAGCTTCAGGAGTTCACAGACTGGATCATGGAGAAGAATGAAACCATTAAAAACTACAAAGTGGATGTTTGTGACATTGAAGATGTGAGACAAAGTTTTCAGTTTTTCAAGGTATGTGTCATACTACCACATTTTAACTTTTGCTTTCAATATGTAGTGCATAAAATGGGAAATCATCATTATTTTTGAGAGAATTCACATTATAACTGAGAAAAATGTAATTTTAACAGGGTATCTACATTAGACAGGTTAGCCCTGCCTTTGGAGAAGCCCTGGATCAGCACTTATATGCCCATTATCTAAATAGCCTGGGACCACATTAGGCCCACTGGGTTGTCATTTCCTCTGTATCACCACCAGTGGCACTTCTACCCTCACATGAAGCATTCTCTAAGCTCCTGGCCATTGAAAGTGCCTCTGTTGATGTCAGAGCAAGTTGCTTGTATGACCAACAAGAAGAAGTGGGACAATCTCCTTTCTTCTTGCTGGTTGCTTGGGCACTATGTTTTGGCATAAGCAGAGACACCGGCAAAGGCCAGAAGCACTGGACAGTGCAGCGAAAGGGTGATGGCAGGTGGTGTCCATCTGGACAGCAGGTCAGCCAAATTTGAACTGGTCCTACTGTCCAGACCACCCCTAAGCCTCAGGATACTCTAGAGTTTTAACCTTGACTTTGCCAAAAATGGAGAAAAGTTGGTTTAAAGTGGGAAGCCTCTCTGCATCCTGAACACAACCAACAGACCATTAGCAGTGAATACAGCGTTTGGGTCCAGAGTAGGCCAGCCCCAAGTTATACCATTACTGTCTTAGAAGATAACAATGTTTAATTTGGGAGCCTAAAAGTCAAATTGTGGCGTTATGAATTAATGCATTTGAAGAAGGTTAAAGCCTAAATGACTTTTAGCAGTCATAAATAGCTTCTAGTTTAGCCATTGCAAATTACTAAATAAAGGACAGATTTATAAGTAAACATAAAATCTAGTGTAATGGTTGGATGTGCTGAACTTTTTGCCAGCCCAATACTTTCCTTAAGTAGATTAGATTCCATAACATATAGATTCATATGATTCTTATTACCTTTTGAAAATATAAACAGGCTTTGAGTAAGATTGCCATACTAGTTTCCTAAACCCTACAGGGCTTTTAAAAATTATTATTATTATTATTATTATTATTATTATTATTATTATTTTACTGACACAGAAACACTGTATGTCACAGCAAATGAGATATATATGCTGGATTTCGTATCACAAAATCACAAGTCAAACACTTCCCAAGCGTTTAGGACTGTGTGATGTATTTTCGAATTATTATTATTATTATTATTATTATTATTAATAATAATAATAATAATAATAATACCCTACTTTATCTCTCCCAAAGAGGACTTAAAGTGGCTTAACATAAAAACATTAGTACACAATTTAAAATATACAAATATACAAACATTAAAACTGAGTTAAATTTAAACAGTATTAAAAATTCACAGTTAAAAACCATTCAAAAATAATAAATGCATCTTCAAGTTAAACCCGCAGCACCTCCTGCCTTGATTTTAAAAACCTTCATCTTTAAAAACCTGCGTGAATAAAACAGGTTTAGCCTGCCACTGGGAGGACAACAGGGAGGGGGCCATTTTGGCTTCTGTGGACAGAGTTCCAGAGTTAAGGGGCAGCCACCAAAAAGTCCTGCTCTCTCGTTCCCACCAACCGAGCTTGAAAGGAATGAAGGGCCTCTCCTGAAGTTCTCAGGGTGTGGGCAGATTCATACAAGGGAATGCGGTCAGCCAAATATGCTAACTAAACTTCATTGCTTAATTTTCAGGACTTGGAAAAAGATCATGGATGTAAAAAAATTCAGCTGGAATCCACAGCCTTTGACATTCAGTTTTTCATTTCTGAGCATGCCCAAGATCTTTCCCCAAACCAGAGCAAGCAGCTCCTGAAGCTCTTAAATAGTACACAGAAACACTTCCGAGAAGTGCAAGAAACAATACAATCTGAAGTGGACCGTTGTGAAACTCTTTTGCAGACAGCTCAACGTCTTGTTGGCCAGAAGGTTTGCTTTCCCTTAGCATTATGTCGACACGATGTGGAGAGAGAATGGCAAGATGCAGAAAGTACAAGCAGAAGAGTACAATGTATCTGCCTTTCAGAACTGTAGGCAGACATTTCCTACATTTGATGTTTAAAAGGAAGTTCTTTGTCAGTAATATTTAACAGCAATTATTTAGAAGTGTTAATAAAGAGTCATGCAACAGTGGATAATAGTGCAGTTAAGGAATTATATCTTGCTTTTAAGCTGAATCATAAGTAAACAGAGCTAAGGCTAAAGAGTCTACACCAGTGGTTCTCAACCTGTGGGTCCCCAGGTGTTTTGGCCTACAATTCCCAGAAATCCCAGCAAGTTTGCCTGCTATTAAGATTTCTGGGAGTTAAAGACCAAAACATCTGGGGACCCACAGGTTGAGAACCACTGGTCTAGAGTTAGTCTCTGAATCCTCTCCAAGAGTGATATTGCATTTTCTAATTCAGTCATCGATCGCGAGTCCTTGCGTCAGGTCCAAAAGCAACCATTGGTGCTTCTCTGAAAATTATTGTGCAACTTAAGGAACACTATTTTTGTGGGCCATTTGGGTTGCAGATGGTACCTTGTCCCACATCCTGAGATGCCTAGTCTGAGAAATTCTCATGTTATGGAAAGTACAGAATGCACTCAGGAGGCTTGAGGCTTTATCATAGGTAGGGGGATATAGGGAGGAGGGATATGGAGAAACCTATTAGATTGTAACCTCTGTGCACAAGTTCCTCTTAAAACAAAGATAACACAAGGCATTTTGCTGATTGAGACAATTTTGCTCCTGGCTTTAGTACAGAAGCTGACCGTACTAGCCTACTGAATTATTTTGGATTTTTTTCTGTGTCCTCCATGGCAGCTTGGGGCATAAGGGTTCTTTGGAGGGTGTATAAGGAAGAATTTGTGGCACATAGCAGCTTGCTATTGTGCCTTACTCTTAGTATGGGCTGCCTGGGCTAGTTCATCTTTCAGGTCCCAAATTGTTTATATTACTCACAGAAAACTAAATGTCAGATGTTTAAAAACCAATTAAAATGTCAGATTGTAAAAGGATACAACATAGGGTGGTTTTAAGAGTAATGTTATTTCGTGTTCTCTTTTATGCTGCTTGAAACACAAATGTGCTTTATATGTAGGCAAAATTACACATGCTGCCTGACTTGACACATATTTTTTGACTAACCTATGTTTTGACATCCCTTTTTCAGAATTAATACCTGCTTATTACAGGTTTCAAGCCATTCAGAAATTTGGATTTTCACACGCATAATGCATGGTCAGACTTCTGCTGGCGATCTCATCCAAAACCTGGTCTCTTTACTTACTGCATTTGTCAGGTTTATCCATATCTTCTATATTCAGCTTCCTAAAACTATATACAACTGCTATCATGTTTACAGCATACTTTCTGAAAAGATGTCTGGTAAAAGCTTTGCGATGTGATTGTTTCTAAATTAACATGTATGAGAGCTTCTCGGCCTTACTATTCAGGTTTCGTCTTATTCTAAATTAGGACTTAGAGGAACAGCATCAAGATTTCAAAGAAAAACTGCAGGATATATGTGATCTCCTCACGCAAACCGAAAACCAGCTCATTGGCCACCAGGAAGCCCTTGTCATTGAAGACAGCAAGACTGAGTTGCAGCAATGTCAAACCAAACAAGAGGTAAAGAGTCAAACAATAATCCAAGACAGATTAAGGTTGGAATTCTAAATTCAGTCTCTTAGGAGTAAACTGTGTTGTCAAAGGCTTTCATGCCCAGAATCACTGGGTTGCTGTGAATTTTCTGGGCTTGTATGGCCATGTTCCAGAAGCATTATCTCCTGGCCTTTCACCCACATCTATGGCAGGCATCCTCAGAGGTTGTGAGGTCTGTTGGAATCTAGGAAAATGGGTTTTATATATCTGTGGAATTTCCCACCTTGGACATTCCACAGATATATAAACCTCACTTGCCTAGTTTCCAACAGACCCCTCAACCTCGGAGGATGCCTGCCATAGATGTGGGGGAAATGTTAGGAGATAATTCTTCTGGAACATGGCCATACAGCCTAGAAAACTCACAGCAACCTAGGAGTAAATTGATATTTGTAAAAACTTCTGAGTGTCTGAAATCACTTCCAAATGCTGGAAAACCATAACTGTTAATTGGACACCTAGAATCCTCTCCGTTCCTTATAGAAAGCAAGGACTAACATTCCTGAAATAACTCTCATGTCATCTCTACAAATATCTCAGAATGACTATACAAAGTAAAACAAAGCAACAGAACAGTAACAAAATGAAATAGGGAAGAAATATCCATTTCTGGATAAATGTGGGTTCATTTGTTTACCTGCTTCCTTCATTTCTTTAGTGTGGTTTTCACTGTCATAAAAATACAAAGTGAAAAGATATATCTCCAACACTGGTAATCAGAAAACATTCTACACGATTTAAAGTGCAATTAAAATCCCTTGTAGAAGACATTCCATAATGGAGATCCTATAGTCAAAAAGAGTCTCTCCATTGCTATGTCTCTCTCTCTCTCTCTATAGCATTTATACCTCACTTTTAATCCACAAAACTTATGAGAAAAGAAAATACGTTTGGGGCATTTCAGCTGTGTTTTATGTTTGGTTTCCCAATTCTAGGCAGAGGTCTCAGTTTTAGGTAGTGTTCTCAGATCCACTTCAAGTCTGTTTCTATCAATTTACAACTGTTAAAAATTAAGAATATTTTTTCAAAGTCCTTATGAATTTATTCCACATATTAAACATAGTAATAGGTTTTTTTCCCTGAAATCACAGTGACTCCAAACGGCAGATTTGGGCTGTGCCTTTGTAAAGGAACATCTAAGAAGTCAAGAATAAAATAATAAACAGAATAAAAATATATAATTCATTCCCCTCTCATTCTAATATTAATTTAATACATTTTAATACATTCCCTTATATCATAAGGGAAATAATACATATGATATATGAGCAAAGATTATGTTTTCTTTTGACCTTTTTATGTTCTCATTTTTCCTCTAGGAATTGCAGAAAAATATGCAAGCCAATACACAGGCATTGGCTGAAATTGTGAAAAATACAGAGATGTTCTTAAAAGAAAATGGAGAAAAGCTGCTTCAAGAAGACAAGCTCTCTCTTGAAAAGAAGCTGAATGAAGCTAAGACCAAGTGTCTCCTGCTTAGCCAAAAGGCGGAAGAATCCAGAAAAGAGCTGGATAAAGCTGTGACAACAGCTCTCAAGCACGAAACAGAGAAGGTTAATTGATAATCACTTAAAATCTCATTTTAAAACTGCATGTTGTTTATCTTTTTATCATATATTAAGGCTGAGAGTACAAGGTGAATTTTCTAAATGTCTAAAACTCAAATGAATGTTGCCCATTTGAAAGATAGTAAAATCCAGATATTCACCAAACTCAACATTATCATTACCAATTATTATATACATCTAAATATTGACATTTATCAGAGTGTTGTAAAAAAAATTACAGAATTACAGGTTGTTCCTAAATTGAAAGATTTATAGAAGTAAATTTTAGAGTTGCATCTATGATCAGCCATATTTGCTTTTGTAATTGTTTTGAAGAGTCTGCTCTAGAACTGCATTAAGAGGAAAAACATTCCTATAATTTTTTTCAGCCTGAATTTGCATTAATATACCCATAATTGAACCCTTATAAATATCTATATTTGAACCTTTTGTGACCGAATTATATATACATATGCTTGAGCTTGATTATGAACTTTAATTTACACAGGTTGCAGCCAGAGAACAGTTGGAAGAGAGTAAAAATACAATAGAAAACCTTCTGGATTGGTTGTCAAATGTAGACAAAGATGCTGACCATGGGAAGAAGAAATGCAAGCCAGCAATCAAGCAGAATGGCAATCATTTTCAGGAAGAGGATGTGGAGGGCTTGGTGGGAGAAGAAGATGAAGTAAATGGTAACTTGCTGGACATTGAACAGGAAAATGAAATCCAGATAGATGGGCAGCTGAAACCATCAGAAGATAATCTCAATATGCAATATCAGAAAGCTAAGGTACTTGCCATAAAACATTTTTTTCAGTTCATATCTGTTTTGGAAAAGGTGTGGTAGATGTAACATTGTCTGTACATATTTCCGAGTCATACTACACTCATGTTGGAAAACACATGATAGTCTTGGAGCATACAAATCAAGGCCTAGTGCAGCTAAGATACATGGTTCCAGCCAACCTATGTGGCAATATCTGGCACAGTTTTTGAGAGTAATATCACCTACTCTTCACTGTATTGGAAATCTCTCAGCAGATTCATGATGGCCATGGATAAATATGTGAGAGGAAGTCATAGGGAGGAGGGAGCAAGCTTGTTTTCCGCTGCCCTGGAGACCAGGACGCGGAACAATGGCTTCAAACTACAGGAAAGGAGATTCCACCTGAACATTAGGAAGACTTTCTGACTGTGAGAGCTGTTCAGCAGTGGATTCTCTGCCCCGGAGTGTGGTGGAGGCTCCTACTTTGGAGACTTTTAGCAGAGGCTGGATATCCATCTATCAGGGGTGCTTTGAATGTGATTTTCCTTCTTCTTGGCAGGGGGTTGGACTGGATGGCCCACAAGGTTTCTTTCAACTCTATGATTCATTCCTAAACCTAGTGAGATTTTTCAGAATAAAGATGCTCAAAACTTTGAAAATACAGAAACAGGCCAAACCTGTGTTTTAATGCACACACTGCCTGCATCTACACTGGGCTGTTTTTTTCCAGTGTATGTCTGTCCCTAGGAAGTCCTATATCCAGCTCATAGGTGCTAAACATTGGGGATGGTATCCAGATGGTCCAGGCAGACTGGGACTGCATTGGCCCTGCTAGGCCGTCATCAGTCAACCCAGCAGAAGGGGATGACCCATTCTAGTCTCCCCACTATGTCTCCCTGCTGGCCATGGAGATCTGTCCAAGCTCATCGCTACAGCCCGCTTCTTCTGCTGATGTCAGAATGGGGTACCTGTCCAACCAGCAAGGAGGGTATAGATTGAGCTTCTTTCTGGTCATGTGCATGCCTTGTTCTGATATCAGCAATGACCTGGTGCTCTGGCTACTGGGGAGCAGTCACGACACAAGGATGAGTCATATGTGCTAATTCATATGGACAGGGGAATCATGATGAAATTTACCCAATCCAGCTGTCCAGGTTGCTGTGAAGCCCCAGGATATTCTGGAGTTTCCTCCCAACTCTGGAGTATCTCTCTATTTTGCCTGAAGTGGGTCAAAGTTGGGTTGAGGCCAGAAAACCTGGGACACTCTCCAGAAGTCCCCATGCTTCATGGAGACAGCTAGTTGTGGATTTGAGGTGAATCCAGGTTTTTTTTTTCCTCTGTGTATACAGAGTCTGGGAGCAGCTAACGTCATTATGAACATCACAGAACTTCTCAGTGCCTTCACTGTTATGGATAACTCCATGCATGCACACCATTCCACATGTGATTATAATATCTCATGTGAAGTTGTTTCAAATAGCCTTTGTGTGCACATTGTCATATTTACATGCAGTTGATTTGCTCTGGGAAAATTGGACTATGTGTTGGTTGTTGTTGTTCATTCGTTCAGTCGTTTCTGACTCTTCGTGAACTCATGGACCAGCCCACGTCAGAGCTCCCTTTTGGCCGTCACCACCCCCAGCTCTTTCAAGGTCAATGCTGTCACTTCAAGGATGCCATCCATCCATCTTGTCCTTGGTCGGCCCCTCTTCCTTTTTCCTTCCATTTCCCCCAGCATTATTGTCTTCTCCAAGCTTTCCTGTCTTCTCATGATGTGGCCAACGTACTTCATCTTTGCCTCTACTATGTGTTGGTATAGGTTTGTAATGTTTCAATAATTATTAATGTTTTTGTAAGTATGTGCATCTCTTGTTAATGGGAAGATATTAAAAATCTGCTCATGTTCTAGAACATAGTGCTGATTATATGTATTTTTGGATTTCTGCCCCCACCATAGGCTCAACATGAGAAACTTATTTCGCAGCAGCAAGCTGTCATTATAGCAACACAGTCAGCCCAAGCCCTACTTGAGAAACAAGGGCACCATCTTTTACCAGAGGAAAAAGAAAAAATTCAAAGGAATATGAAGGAACTGAAGGTGCAGTATGATACCACTTTAGCTGAATCGGAGCAGAAACTGAAGTTGACACGTTCACTACAGGAGGAACTTGAGAAATTTGATGTGGACTATGGTGAATTTGAAAGCTGGCTCCAGCAGGCAGAGCAAGAACTTGAAAACCTAGAGACGGGGGCTTCTGACTTCAGTGGGATTGTGTCCAAACTAAAAAGGCAGAAAAGTTTTTCTGAAGATGTTATTTCTCACAAAGGGGACTTGAGGTACATTACCATTTCTGGGCAGAGAGTATTGGATGCTGCGAAGTCATGCAACCAAAGAGAAGGCGTTAAATATGATAAGGAAGGTATTGATACTTCATCAACATTCATGGAGGTACAGAATAAGTTGGACAGTGCAACTGGTCGCTTCAAATCTCTCTATTCAAAGGTAAATTTAGTATGTTTTTTCATGGAATGTGAGTGCCTGAGATAAATTGCCTGTCACATGAAATTAAAAACGGAATCCTTTCGATAGCGATGAATTCTATTTGTTTTCTTCATTCATCTTTCTGTGTCTTCTGTTTCTCGATTTTTGGATACACAAGTTCCCAATTCAGATCCACAACTGACCAGGGAATCTGGACTTGCTTGCCAGATTATTGCTATTAGTTTCTATTTTATTTCAGCCTTTGTCCAGGAATTCAGTGGGCATGGTCTCTCCATCTGCCCCTTCATTCATATTATCCTCACTACATCTCTATGGAGTTGGTTGGAAATATAATTAGCTGAATGTCACATCTGCTAATAAGCAAGTCAAATGCAACTCAAAAGTACTACTTGTGAGTTCCAAGGCAATGTGTGTCAGCCATCCGATTTAGTCACCTTTGCGCAAACGGCAATACAAAACATACACACCTTAGCCTCAAGAGTAAATGAATCAATTACCCTTCTCCACAAAGACAAAATCCCAAAAGCTATAAGCTTCATTCTTTTTGCAGGTTATGTAGTATGCAGAGGGATCTTGTAGAACCTTTGAGACTGAGAGAAAGGAGTTGGTAGCATAAGCTTTTGCACACTTGTCTACTGTATTGCAATGTTTCCACTAGATGGAGCCACCTCTAATAGGAAAAGAGTTTTACCTGTAATACAAGCACTGAAAGAGAATGTTTCAAAGGCTACAGGGTATTCATAAATTAATCTTAAGCAGATGTTTTGGTTTAATGAAACTGGCTCATGCAATATGCCCACGTAAAAGTTTTCTATGCAATTGATAAAGTATAGTCCTCAAGGTTCTGTTCTACCTGGAGCTATACTGCCAGGGAGAAAAGAAATAGCCCATTCAAATAACTAATAAAACCAAAATATCTCTGGTATCAATTTAATGTCTTAAAAACCTCTTTTGCATTGGATTGGTGAATTAGCAGGTAAGGTGCCTTGCCATACTTTGCCCACCAAGGATCTCTTTTTTTCCTATATGCATTCTATTATCCAATGTGCAGGGGTTCTTGTTGTCACTGTGCAAATTGCAGCAATGTTAGCTGACTAAGAATTCTGACACTTGTGGCCCAGAAAATAACTGTTCCATGCTGTCCACTGCAGTGTGAATGTGTATTGTGTGTACGTGAGCATTGTCAGGTGTCTTTCATTATGAGAGATGTCTCTTATTTGACGTCTGGAAAGCTTTTCTGTTAGAGAACTGGTAGGTCTTACTTTCCCTATGGGATATCTTCTATTTGAGGGTTGGAAAACTTTCCCCCTTTTATAGACTTTTCATATTTGTAGAGGTGTCAAATACTTTGAGATTATTTATTTATTTATCGTGTCAGAAGCAGATTGAGAATACAGTTTTTAAAACCACAAAGAAAGTAAAAAAATGGCATTATACTAAATTTCCTTTGACCAGAAGCTGGCCACTTGGAGTGCCTCTGGTGTTGCTGTAAGGAGGTCCTCCATTGTGCATGTGGCAGGGCTCAGACTGCATTGTAGTAGGTGGTCTGTGGTTTGCTGTCCTCCACATTCACATGTTGTGGATACGACTTTGTAGCCGCATTTCTTAAGGTTAGCTCTGCATCTCGTGTTGCCAGAACACAGTCTGTTCAGCACCTTCCAAGTTGCCCAGCCTTCTGTGTGCCCAGGAGGAAGTTTGTCAGCCACTGATTGAGATTCTGGGTTTTAGCCTGTCATTGGCAAGAAATCTTCAGAGTAGATTTTCCTTTGAACACTATGTACATTTTTCAGAAAAACATGTGGCTTGGTTAAATGAAATCAATACTTTAGTTTGGTATTTAGATAGAACACAAGCTTGTTACTTTCTACATACCAGTTATAATCCATTTCATGATTTTGGAGTGTTCCTTATAGTTCTGTTTTGAAAACCTGGCAATGCTTGTGTATGTTTGTAAGAGAGAGAAATTAATTAATTCAGCTATTACTAGATAATTATGAAAAGTCTGTTAATACCTTGTTTATGAATGCATTTTGTCAATTTATATATAAGAAGAAATTCAGAAATTATGTAAGATTTCCATCTAGAAACTAGGTATACAAAGAATTTTAAGAAATTGTTCTGATTTTGCACACCATTTTCTTTTCTGTGCCCTTCCAGTGCAGTATCCTTGGAAATAACCTCAAAGACCTGGTAGATAAATATCAGAATTATGAGGATGCCTCCTCTGGGCTTCTGTCAGGACTCCAGGATTCTGAGGAAGCTGTGAATAAACATCTATCAGAAGCTGTTGCTGCCGATCCCAAAAATCTCCAGAGGCAACTAGAAGAAACCAAGGTAAAGCAAGTGAGGAATATCCTCAGTTGCAATCAGAAAATCCAGAGTAAACAACATTAAAGGAAGGGATGTGTGTGTTATGTTATCTCAACCCATTACACGTCTGATTAACTTAAGTAGTGCTTCTCCCTCCCACAAAGAGAAAAATTGGGAAGTTCCCAATTAACAAAAGAAAGGTAAACAAATCTATAGTATGAAAAAATATATAAAGGTCAAAATTGTACCTTGATTTGAGCATGGCTACAAAATAACTTGATAAATATGGTAGATGATCTTTATCATATGATACAATCTATTGGCTGTGGACAAAAACTGCATCACCATATATTGTTGAAACATATGGCCTGTCTGCAAGGACAACATTCAAACCAGAACATGAGTGAATTAGGCTAGCCAAGTTTAATATATCCATCAAAGGATGGAGTCAATATAATGGATGATGTCACCAAAGATAACCAATGGCCCCTTCCACACAGCTCAATAATATCCATTATCTGCTTTGAACTGGAATATATGGCAGTGTGGACTCAGATATCCCAGTTTAACCCAGATATTGTGGGATTTTCTGCCTTGATATTCTGGATTATATGGCTGTGTGGAAGGGCTCTGAGATATCACTATCTGACCACTCAGGACTAGAGAGATATCTAGAAATATTTCCAAAGATATAACCTAATGTTTTGATAGAATGCAATCTATTCCCGAAGAGGTTTCCTGAACAAACTGTATCCTATCCTGTGTAGGTTCATTTCATTTTGCTTGTATTTGGCCCATAAACGCCCTCAATAACTGACTGATTCCCACTCTACTCAGTTAATTGTTATGAGAAGTAGAAATGGATGCCTTCTGCATACTCGTGACACTTTGGTCTCAAACCTTTGGGTTTCCTCACTGGACAGTTTCGTGTAAATGGTGAAGCCATTCTATAAAATCATTTTAACAAAAAGGCACTTAAACAGCCAGTTTTTGCAGGAAGCTTCTTTGGCCCCTAAAACTTTTCTCTGAGTTCGTATCCTGTCCAAAAGATGCACTCTGGAGTTTAAGGTTAGGAGAATGTATATATAGAATCATAGAGTTGGAAGAGACCTCATGGGCCATCCAGTCCAAACCCTTGCCAAGAAGCAGGAAAACCGCATTCAAAGCACCCCTTGAATGTAAGGGTATAACATAATACATGACATGATAACACAACAAGATACTCCACTGAGACAGAAAAAATGAAATGCAGAGATACAGAATTGGGGACGCATGGCTCAACAGCAGTACGTGTGAAAAATATCTTGGAGTCCTCATGGACAAGTTAAACATGAGCCAACAATGTCACGTGGCAGCAAAAAAAAAAAAAAAAGCCAATGGGATTTTGGTCTGCATCAATAGGGGTATAGTGTCTAGATGCAGGGAATTCATTCTACTCCTCTATTCTGCCTTAGTCAGATCACAGCTGGAATGCTGTGTTAAATTCTGGGCACCACAACTGAAGGGAGATGTTGACAAGCTGGAATGTGTCCAGAGGAGGGTCTGGAGAACAAGCCCTAAGAGGAGCGTCTTAAAGAGCTGGGCATTTTTAACCTGCTGAAGAAAAGGCTGAGAGGAGACATGATGGCCATGGATAAATATGTGAGGGGAAGTCATAGGGAGGAGGGAGCAAGCTTGCTTTCTGCTGCCCTGGAGACTAGGATGCAGAACAATGGCTTCAAACTACAAGAAAGAAGATTGCGCCTGAACATTAGAAAGAACTTCTTCACTGTGAGAGCTGTTCAGCAGTGGAACTCTCTGCCCCAGAGTGTGGTGGAGGCTCCTTCTTTGGAGGCTTTTAAACAGAGGCTGGATGGCCGTCTATCGGGGCGCTTTGAATGCAATTTTCCTGCTTCTTAGCAGGGGATTGGACTGGATGGTCCACAAGGTCTCTTCCAACTCTATGATTCTATGCATGTCATTATTTATGGAAGTTACTGATGTGTAGATATTTTTCCCCTTTAAAGTGCATACAAGGACAGGCCTGATCAATGTGTACAGACGTTTTTCAGGAAGTTATGGTTTTAGACTGTATTGTTAGCATTGAATCCTTGCTGTTAGCCAGTCTGAGTCCCTCTACGCAGGTAAACAAGATCGAGATACAAATGTTTTAAATGAATAAATAAACATGGAGGTCAGGATTCTTCAGTAGACAGTGTTTGGTCATGCTACATCTCCTCATCTGACTGCAAGAACCCACCTTAAAGGCCAATAGAATTCTGAAGCACTGATGAGTAGAGTGCTGAAAGATGACAGTTTCAGTCCCATCCTGCCAGCATAACAGCAGTGTGCCAACATGAAGGAGAAAGCTCTGTTTGGTCCTGTTGCTACTCATTAGCACATCAACACCCGAGGTGCTGAATGTGTCATCCTTCAGTGCCTCACTCACTAGTGCTGCATAACTCCATGCCTTGATGTGGCTGGTTGGCTTTTAAAGCACGTTTCTGAGACATATACAATCATGATAGTGGTGTCACAATTGTAAATGTGGTTATAAAACAGTTGTAACAAATACAACAAAAAATAAATAAATACAGTTCGTACACCTAACCGATGATATTGATTCTGACTAATGGGAAACCTGAACATCATTTCTCAAGTACATGATATGAAGCTTCCCCTTAAGGGTAGGATTACTCTTTGAGGGGTCTACTTATGGAAACTCCCATACTAGCAGTGCCTTGATGTTCAAGCTAAAATGTGCTCTTTTGACTATGGTATGTTGTATATGTTTTTGAGGATGATTTAGGGCTACAAGGGGAAGAAATATGTTTTTAGATTTAAAAAACCTTATCTTCATATGTTTGTTGTTTAGTGTCCCTATTGGTAAAATTACAGCCATATATTACTGGAGGATGATAGTTAATGCTATCACATAAAATCATGAGTTGGAAATGACTTCAGAGGTATCTAATGTATCTCTCTGAAAATGGAGGAAATTGTCTACAGCCATTTCTCTGATATGTGAAAACACAATTATTTTGCAAAATAAGCAGCCATTTAGTATTGAAAGATTTTGAGCTCAATATTTTATTACAAACTATGATAGGCGAATGCTGTTTTATCATGCTGTTTAACTTACGTTGACAAGGACTTTTAAAATGGATTTTCACTTACTGTTCGGAAGCTACAGAAAAAATGTTTTGTACATCCTGGTGGATAATATCAGGTGATCAACACAATAAATGCATGCATTGTAACATTAGTGGAGATTGGGTTTAGATTCATATCTCAAAATAACATTTGACTAGTATATGATGGGAAGAGCCTAGAGAGATGAGATAGAGACGAGTGCAGTGCTAGGTGCATTTGTTTAAAGGAAGAGAAGTATGGAAGACTTGGACCAGAATTATAAGAGAGAGCAATGAGTACGAAGAGCACTTCTTAAAAAGTCAGGTATTGTAGGTCAAGGCTGCCTTTTGCTGCTGACATACTTATCTGATAATCCATCAAGGCACTGACCTTGTCGGCATAGTGGTGGATAATCTTTTTATAGGGATTAGCGGTTCAAAATATTCTTCTTTGCCTAAGGCTTTGGATTACTTTCTAGCAACATTTAAAAGCTTTAGTTTTTCTTTCAAAAGCAAAACACTCCTCCGCTCCCTCAAATAATTAAAATTACAATAATTGCAGCCAAAATAATGAATAAATAAGCCTTACTATATCGGAGCCAGACTCTACAAAATCCTAGTCTATCATCTTATCACAAGGTGGTATTGACTCTAGATTGTTGAATATTAATGCCAATCAAGGTTAACTGGCAGATTCTACCAGGCTGGTACAAAGTTGGAGGTGGCTTCATTGTCTGACAAAAAGCTTACTTAATATGGGAAGGTTGGTTGATTATGGACGTCAGGTGACTGATTGGTTATAGCAATTATATGTGAAATATTTGTAGTATACATTGGCACAGTGGGTCTATCCAGACCCTGAAAAAACCATAAATCTTTTTTTTTCCGTTAAAACTGTTTATTTTGATTATGGTACATAACAGAAAAGCAAATCATGGCAGATATAATCAGGTACCAATATTTTTGACGTGTACATGCCTATCTACCTTATTCAATCAATCAGTTAATTTTAACATTAAGTACAAATTATTATCATTTACATATCTTAATACACATATTGCTATTTCTGCCTGTTTTCCACTGTTTACAGTCAGAGCTTTGTATTAAATCTTTTCCATAACATTCAGGAAATCAGCACATGGCATTTTACACACATACCACAGACCTTACACTCATCCCAAAACCCCTATCCTAAACAAAATAAACCCTCATCCCCACACCCATGCACCCTTCACCATGACTTCCCGCACCGAAACACTATGAAGCCTTTAAGCCTGTTTATCTATCCTCATTCATGGTAAACCTAAATTCCTAATGGAGCTCCTCTATATTACTGACTCTCTATTCAGATATTCCATGGCCAACTTCCATTTTTCTAAAAAGTCCTCATTACTTTTATTCCTCCTGTTATAAGTTATTCTGGCCATTAGCATATATTCTCGCATTATTTCCCTCCAATCCTTTTTGGTTAGACCTTTTCCCCCTTTCCAATCTTTGGCTATGGTCAATCTTGCCGCTGCAAAGCTATATTGATATATTTCTTGGTCCTTTTGATTATTGAAAAAACCATAAATCTTCAAGGCGTAAAGAGACATACTATGTTAAGCAGCAGGATTCCAAAAGAATGATTCAATTTATTACCTGAGCTGGCTATATGGGAGAAACAAGTTCCTCATGGCAACAGATCCACTGATTTCTAGTGCATTTCTGAACACAATTCAAAGAGCTGTTTGTGACCTATGGTTCAGGTTTTTGTTTTTTCATATTAAACTTGCTCATGTTTTGAGATCTTCTAGGGAAGGCCCTTCTTTCTTTCTTTCAAATTTTGTATGTACATCTAGTGGGAACATAAGAGATGACCTTTTCAGTGGCTGCTCCCAGGTTCTTGAAATCCCTTTTCAGATAAGTTAGGCTCCTTGCTATCCTTAGAAACAGATGAATATAATCACGTTGCTCATGTGGAAAAGGGGGGACATGAGAGAAGCCTCCCCGCAGGATCGTCACACATCCAGGCATCCCCTTGGGCAACATCTTTGTAGATGGCTGTTTCTCTCACACCAGAAGCAACTTGGAGCATTCAAAGAAACAAACAAACAGATCTTTTCAGGACCAACCATGACAATAATCTCAATTAACATCTAAGGCATGTCAGCTGCCAAAGAACAGCTGCTTTATGAACTGTGTTGAGATAAGAAATGGGACGTGACCAAGAATGTGTGACCAAGAAACACACAGGGATAAACAACAGAAACGACCCAAAATTCCAGGAATGATTTTAGTGGTGGAAATACCACATGTGCAGTACGGAAGTGCTGTCTTTGTAAAACCAGGTCTCCAAGTCAGCAGTGTCCATAACACTGAAGAAAACAATATAGAGGTTATAAGAATAGAGCTTAGCAACATCACGATTACCTCTATGTACAAGTCCCCAAATAAGGCATCCTCAAACTGCAGCTCTCCAGCTGTTTGGGCCTCCAACTCCCAGAAGCTGGAGGGCCACAGTTTGAGGATGCCTGCCCCAAATGAAGAATTCTGTTTCTCCTCTCCTGAAAACTTTTATAGGCACCTAAGGGCGGTAGTAATTGGTGACTTTAACAGCCATATCCACATATGGGGCTATGCTCAGGAGTATAAAAATGGAGAGGCTGTCCTCTCCTGAGCTAAATTGCATAAACTATTGCTTATTCTTGAGAGTAAGCTCCCACCATCCTACAACAGCTGGAGATGGCACCGAGGATATAACCCTGACCTCCTATTTGTGAGTGACAGCATTGTGTAACAATGCACTAAATCAGTGGTACCACCAATACTAAACACCCAGCATTGGCCTCTAGTATGCCAATGTTTCCCAACTGTAAGGCCCTGGGAAGTTTGATTTAAATGAAGATTCAAATTCAGAAAGGCAGATTGGTCTAAATTCTCACATATGTTAGATGACAAGATCATATTAGTCTCCCCAGTCCCTGAGGAATACAGATGCATCATCAAAATAGTAAAAATGCAGAAAAGAACAGATCTTAGTAACACAATTAATTGCATTTTAACTATAATAAATTTGGTTCCTATTTGTGGATACTAGTTCTATGCAACTGGAATAGTGAGAATATGGTTTTCAAGCCATTTTCATGTTGCAATTCCAATATGTGACATAGTCAGTGATAATTGGCCTAAAGAACAGAAATGTCATCAAATCTCTATTGGCTTCCTTTCACCTCCTGTTTCTCAGCTGCTATACTATGAAGTGGGGAGTAGTAATGGTTTGGCATACCATTGAGAGCAGCAGTGTGGGAAGCAGAAATTACCCAGGGGCCACAATCAGGTTTTCTTCTGCACACCTAATTAAAATGAGCAAGGAATATTAAAGACCATGATAAATATCAAATCAACCTTGCCAGAGTCAAAAAGTAGAACATATGAATTGCCCATAGTAGACAAGACAAAGGAGTTATTTGGTTCAAAGCCTTGATGTCTAGAATGGTCATACAAATACTGGTTGGAAGCTCACCAGAAAAACAACATGTAAAAATTGTTCTATGCAATAATTAAATATAGCTTCCTCTAATGCCTTCTAAACAAGTCTCATTGTTATTTATTGTATATTGAAGGGCAAAATGATTGTAGCAATGGTACATTTCCACAGGTGCTTCAGGGACAAGTATCTGGTCACCAGATGGCTGTAGAGAAACTGAAAAAAGCAGCTGAAGTTCTTTTCGACACAAGGGGAGAACTGTTGCCAGATAAAGATGAAATTCAGAATACACTGGGTAAGATGAGAAACTGCCTCCTATGATTTCTTCCATTCCACAAGAGAAGTTCCATTCTTTCATCTCCTTTTTCTTCTTCCACCCCCCCCCCTCCTTTTAACAGCTAGCAAATAACACCAATTGGGTGAAGTTAAATGCTGATCTTTCCCAGTCATATATATATAGTAAAGATAAGTGAACCAGATTATAGTGCAAATAGTGTATTTGGTTGAAAGAGTGTATTGAAGTGACTTATATGAGGCTCCTGGTAGTTTTCCATCTTGACACTATATGTTCCAACATTGATTCAACTCTGGCTTCTTCTAGAACATTCACCAAGGACTTGTCTGTATTAAAAAATCCATCTCACACAACAAATTGCTTCTGAAACTTGTATGAAGGTCTGAGTTCATATGTGACATGTCATGAATACTCCATTGCTCCAAAGCAAGGAAGAATCAAAAGTCACATTGTAAACACAAAAACCCTAAAGTAGCATTGAGCATTGTGGCCACAAGTTTCAATAAAGATAGTTAACTGTACATATTATTATATATTGTTAGTTTATGTCTCCAATCATAGTATGTAACCTTCTGTAATTAGGAAACGTTTTTGTTCATGCATCTACATAGGAAAAGTTACAGGTGTTATAGCATTTCATTTAAATAATTTTGACCAACCTTTTTGACATGAGGCCACATTCCCTAGTCTATCCAGCTAAGTATTCATCCTCCAAAAATGGTGTCATCCTCCTTAAATAATTCTCAGGGGCCATATACACAACCAAATGAAGTGAGATGGGGTGTACAAGGCCAGTTCACCCTACATGCCTGACAAAGCTGCTTAATGCAGCCCTGCTCTACATTACCCAAAGTTGTGAGGTACCTTGAAGCTTTGCCAAAGCTTTGGAGCTCATCTGTACTTTGGGGATCATAAACAGCTGTTTACTTGTTAAACCAGCTGCCACTTTTTCCTTGGCAATCCTGCTTCTTCAGGTGGCCCAGGTACAGGGGATGGCACTTACCAGCATCACCCTGTCCTCATTGTAGCAGTTTTCTTTCATGTTAGGAGGAACTTGCTGAGAGATTTGGCCGTCCACAAGGATGTTTCCCAGGGGATGGCCAAATGTTTTGATGTTTTACCATCCTTGTGGATGGCTTTTCTCATGTCCCTGCATGAGGAGGCAGAGCTGACAGTCTCTCAGAGCCTGTTGGTCTTCAGTCCTGCTGGCACAAGGGTTTAACCCATTGCACCACCGGGAGCTCCTATTGTAGCAGTTAACCAGGGACGTGAAATTGGTGATCATCACTTGTCACAAGTACTGATGCTAGCTAGGGCACCAAAGCAATTGGAAAAGGAACAGAGAAAAGGAGAGGGTGATCCATTCTCTTCACTCTCTCTTGAACCACTCTGGGACTTTGGTCAGTGTTATCACTTGCAATAAGTGACAGCTGCCAGCAGCTTCATATCCTGCAGCTGCTGTTACAAGGACAGGAGAGCAATGGTAAAAATGGCTGTCCAGCAGTGCTTAACCAGGCTTGCCTATCTCGCCATCAACCTGGCTCAAGGCTGGCTGTGCACCGGGGCTAATCCAGAGTATCCCATTGCAGGTCAGCTCCAGTATAAGTGGCATGTTTAGCTATGCCCTCAGTTCCTTTTCCATATGAGGACATCCCAGAAGAAGAATCTTGATGTCCTTTTGTGCTGTTAAAAAGGAGTACCTTTGCTGACTCAAAAACTAACTGTCGTTCTGTGCTCAGAGATTGCCACCCCCCAAGAACTTGAAAGGGGGAACCATTGCCATTATTCATCACTCTGGTGTCCACTCAAAGTCAGCTCATTATCCTTCTGGATGCTGGGACAGAAAAATTAAACCAAGATTTTACCCTTAGATCTCTAGATGAGTGACAAACATTAAGCAACTGCAAGAAACACTCAAGAGAAGTGATCTAAGCGGAGCAAAGATACTTGTCATGCAAAAAGATGTTTGGTTGCTTATTTCACAGCAGGCAAGGAGAGTAAAGTTTACAGAGTAAAGGTTTCATATTTGGTTCATCGTGAATTAGCCTAAACATATGCAGAAATTCATTTCACATTCCTTGTCTGGAAATAAAGCAAAGAAAACAATTTGTAATTCAGATTGTTTCTCAACCAGGTAATTAGGAATTTTGTTGATACTTCTACTCATAATTATCGACAAAGATATTGATGCACAGAAACTGTTAGCAAGGAATGCAGGAGTAATGACTACTTAAAGTAAATGCTGGATGCAGGGCTGTTCTGGTGGTTTCTGCAAGCAAATAAACCAGCAAACGCAAGAGTCTAGAAAGGATGATATCTGAGCCAGTTGAGGTTTCATTTAAAATTATAACTCTTCCGCCTTAGCAGACAGACCATATGAGATTTCTGGAATATGTATAAAGGCCTAAAGATACATGAGAAAGCTGGATATGCAGACTTAAATCTTTAATTCCCTTATCTGAAAGCCCATCTGTTTAACATTCAGCTGTTACAAGTCAATATATTAAAATATTGCTCTATTTCTTCTTATACTTATGCCTGGTCGTGCTTAGGCTGATACGTTTCTGGTGCTTTGTTTATCAGCTTTTGGGGCTTTTTTCATCAACTTGTTCTTTTGGCCACTTATTGGTTTTACATTTGCTGTATAAAGAACATGTAAAAGAAAGATGTTGAATGATCTTGCAGAATACATTGTGTTGCATTTCTGGAGCTGGAGGGTATAAAAGACAGGTTTTGTTTACCTGTTCTGGTGGTTTGAATGTAATGTAGTTTTGAGTGACTGACGGAATTGACCCTCTTTATGGCAAAGTGACATCAGTCATGAAAATTCATTAGGTAAAAAGAACAAGTGAAATCCTTCTTCCATAGAATTCATCCTTATGCCCCTTCTTTTAAATCTCTTTGCTGTTTACCTTAAGAGGCCTTTTGAAAAGTGGAGCCACCTGGACGGATTAACTGTTTTATCTGTAATACTCAGCTGACTGTACCTCAATTGTAGGCTCACACATCGTGCACAGGGTGAACCACAGCTTTCCAGTGTTAAATAATACTTGACTCCAGTCAGAATACTAATGGAGAATCTGTACTTTTCTCACAGAAAAATAACTGATATCTCTAGGTTCTACTTGTTGTGAACTTGTCCCTCATTTTCTGATTTTCTGATATTCAGGTTTATAAACAGGATTGGAGTGAGATTTTTTGAATTGGTGGACTGCTGTTGAATATGGATAGTAGTGTTGTTCAAAATTATAAATAACTGTTAACTTCAAATTACATCTTTTTGTTTACTTTGATTCCTTGCTCCTCATCTATGTGGATTTTTGGTTGATTTTTCATTAAATGTAATATGTACACTTCATCATTCTTGAAGAGTGCATGAAACACAACCATAAAAGATGGTTCCTTCACCCTAGTGCTCTTAGGCTGTGTTTGGATGTCATCTATCATCACCTGATGGTCAATGTGGATTAATATGGGTCATTCGCTTAATAGTAGGGTTTTCCTAGTGAAGAAGAAAAATAACAAGTTCTATTTTTGCATCTCTGGTTTGCAAGATCTTACAGATTGCAGGTAGGAAAAAAACTTCATAAAACTCTGAAAAACTGTCATTCGATTGTGTTGGATTAAATACTTGTATTAGTTTAATATTTTCAAAGGCGGCTTCTTGTATTCTAAGGCTGGATCTACACTGAGATATAAAATTCAGATTATTTGCTTTGAACTAGATTACATGGAAGTGTAGACTTCTATAATCCAGTTCAAAGCAGATAATGTGAATCATCTGCTTTGATAATTATATGGCAGTGTAGAAGGGGGTCTCAGATTTATAATTATTTTCCTGTTTTTCCCCCCAGATACTATTGTGGATAAGTATAATCAGTTATCCAAAGCAGTAAATGATCGTAATGAGAAACTCCAAATCACTCTGACACGTTCATTAAGTGTGCAGGATGGCCTGGATGAAATGCTTGATTGGATGAATGGCGTTGAGAAAAGTCTTGAGGAGCAAGGTCAAGTGCCTTTGAATTCTGCTGCTCTTCAGGATGTCATCAGTAAAAGTATGGTAAGAAGAATTTTAATACAGCAATTTTTTTCTTTAAGGCTTCAACACGCCTTAAAAAAAGGTAAAAAAAGAAATATGTAGTATGAATAACAAAAAAAGACTAAGCATATGAAAACAATGTAAGTCTTAGGAAGGTGGCATCATTAAGATCCTTTTAAGCAGTGAGCTTCTTAAGAACTTATAACATATTTGAATGTAACAAACCTGTTTATATTCAAACTTCCCCCTTTTATCAGGAGAAAGGTGGGATAAATATAAAATAAATAAAATTTGAAAGCTGGATATCAATCATACTGTACTCCATACAAACATTTGCTAATCTCCTTGATCTTGTGTTGAGAACCATAGTGCGGTTTGTACTTATTCCATACAGAGAACCATTTAAGACATGTGAATACATAAAAAGTCTTACATTGGTCGAATATCACAGACTCTTTACAAAGGCACAATTAAATGTATTTCCCTCGAGAGCTGCTAAGAGGCAGATTGTCTGGAACTCCTTGTGCCCAAAGACTATACCCCTGTGAAGGAAATGAAGTAGAAACAATAGAACACATTTTATTGAAGTGCCGTTATTTACACAGTGCAACATAGCCAACTTTTATATCCAATTTTGTCCCACATGACCAGCCACCCCATGTAGGGATTGTTAGATGTCTTTTAGAGGACAAGTGCCGCATAGTGGCAAAATTCCTTGCAGTGGCAACAAGGCTGAGAAAGAAATTAACCTTGGATAGGGGTATTACTTGAAACCATGTTTATTTTGGACAGTGAGATGGGATAATTTTTTAACGACTGTTTTTTCACTAATGGGTCTATGGACTGTAATAAATTGTTGTTGTTGTTGTTGTTGTTGTATTCCATATTGCATGTCCAGAGATTTATTTATTTATTTCGTATCAAAAGCATTGCATAAATTAGTATAAAACTGATAAAAATGAAGGTGCACAAGCGGCTAAATATCTTTTGACCAAAAATGGGCAACAGCAATCGCATTGTCTGTAGCCTCCAACAATTCTTCCTCTGTACATGAGGCAGGACATTGCGGACAAGCATACAGCTGCAGAGTTGTCTGTTCTGCTCCACGGTTACACAAAGTGGAGGATGCTTTTCAGTAGTGCTATTTTGCCAGGTTGTCTTTTGATCTGCCCATTCCACTTCTGAGTCTGTTCAAGGACTTCCAAGTTGACCATTCTTGGTTTGTCCCTGGAGGCAGACCCTCGTGGGGGGCCATCCAGAGATGCAGAGATGAGTTCCCCTCTGCGTGTTAAAACCACCAACTGGACAGACATCACTGAATGAAAACAAATGGGCCACAACTTTATTTGTTTAAGGCTATAGCTACCCAGATCTGAATTCAGGCATCAACGAACCTGCATGCTGATTGATGAATCCTCCAATCCGTCTGCTCTTAGTTGTCTTTGTTTTATTTCAGGCTTTAGAGCAAGACATTCTAAGTCGTCAAAGCAGCCTAAATGCCATGAAAGAAAAAATGAGCAAATGCATGGAAACAGCAGATCCGTCCACTGCATCCTCTTTGCAAGCTAAAATGAATGAGCTCTCTTTACGGTTTGCAGAAGCAAATAGGAAACACAAGGAAAAACTTGGAAAGATGGAAGAACTGCAGAGTAAAGTAGAACTATTTGAATGCCTGTCTGATAAACTCCAGTCATTCTTGGACAAGAAGACTCAGGCTCTAAGTGAAGCTGATGTCCCAGGGAAGGATGTCACTGAAATGTCCCAATATGTTCAGGTAAATCTCATATTGCTACATATTTAGAATTACATCAGTGTACGTAGCCACCTCATTAACAGCTATGAGGGAACATGGTGAGTTCAAGGACTTAATTCTGAATACTAGCTCATGCAGTCAAGGATGAAGCCATTACTTTCTTGTCCATTTTGTAGGAAACCAACACTGAATTGATGGAGCAGAAAAAAGATCTTGAAGTTTTGCAACACCTCATTGAAGAACTTTCTACTCATGCGCTTCCTGCAGACAAATCTTTAGTATTAGAAAAAGTAAACGCTCTGTTAAAGAAATTTAAGGAAGTTGAGGAAGCCATACAAGAAAAGTGAGTAGCTGAATTTTAAAACAGTAAAAATAGTGATAATGAGGATGATTCAGATATATCAAGACTATTAAATTATCACTGGTTGAGTAGTTGCCTTTAGCTGATTTATATGTATGTAATTACAGTAAATTACATATCCAAGTTTTCATGATTGGGCATTTAGTTAAAAGCTCAACTAAATGTGAGATGGAAAGATAATTGTTAATATTTTTATGGTGGTGATATACTGCAGGCGAAATATCTGTAACAATGAAATGTATGCTTTTAATTTGCAGCCCCACTGCTACTGAGAGTTTGTTGTGAGATCCTCTTATTAATTAATCAGTTAAATCATTGCCAATTACACTGATTAAAATTTGCAGCCCTAATAATTAGAGCACATAATTATGTAAGGTGGTTGCAATTATTTGACAATTTATAAATGGAAGAGTATGTTCAAGCTTTGTAATTTTACAGTAGAACAAAGATTTATAAAAAAACATGACTTGATAAACTGAAATCTGAACCACAAGATGTGATGGTCTGCATATACCTACCATGGGTGTTTATGATTCCTGTTGCAAAGTATGGTGGTGGGGTTGAATTCTTAAAGCAAAACTGACATCACATGTGCCCATTCAAGGCACATAGCATGCCAAAAGTGATCTTTCATTCCTAATATGTTATATTAATATAATTTCTTCTGTAAAAATTGTCAAGTTGTTTCGGGGGGTCCCTTTCTCGGGTATACTCCGTCTCCCTATCTTTGCAATTGTCTTTTTTCAGCGTTTATTTATTGGTTTTCTGAAATTCTTAGAATTCTGGTTCAGTTTTATTTTTACAACTTCATGTTGTCAGAGTATCTAAAGCAATGGTTCCTAACCTATGGTCCATGGAACACCAGTGGTCCACAAGAATGAAAATATAGTCTGCGGCCTCACCATTACTGCAATGTTGCCTCAAAACCACACGATAACAAGAGTGACTGGTCTCACAAAACCCTCTTATAGTGTCGATCCAACAAGGGAAGACGCTGACAAAAGATTACTACTACCACATCAGCTCTAAATTATTAAATATGGTTTTCTGTGGACGAGCAGATAGTGACTACTGGATGGCATTTGTTCTGTATCAGAAGCTAGAGCTTATGTAGTTTATCCAATGCAATTTTCTGAATCAGCACCCCAAATAACAAAAAACTGATTCGTAACTCTTTTGGTGCTAATGTTGAAGAGTGGTCCCTGTTCAATTGGTCCTTGGTCAAAAAAAGGTTGGGAGCCACTGATTTAAACGATTCCTTCCTCTCTCTGAGTGGGATGTGTATATTGTTAGTGTTTTATTTGTATACAGTGCCTTCTACGTCGATGGCACTAAATAAATACTTACATAATGCTTTCAAAGCAGTTAATGTAGATTATCTTGAAATACAGAGATCGTATCTCCTTTAACTTTTCCTTTTAAACTTTTTTTCAGAGAAGATGATGTATCCTCTTGCCAACAGCAAATGGATGCATTCAACCTTCATGTAGAATCTTTAAAGAAATGGATAGATGAGGTGATCAAAAAAGTTCCAGACACACAGCTTTCTTTAAATACTGATACTTTAAAGAAACATTTGCAAACTACCAAGGTGAGATGCTTCTTTTTATTGCCTAAAATATGTCATTTACTAACAATGGTATGTCAGGTAACACAGTTCATACTGTCCTTTTAGCCTGAGAAACTAAGAAGAGTGACATAGCAGTTGTGAAAATACTCTTTTAGTTGCATTGGTGTAAAATAGTCCAGAACTTTATACTGTGTTAAATTGTCCTGTGGAGGTGAGCCCTTTGCTGTGTTTTGATAGTGGTTTGTGCTTTGGTTATCTTTGGTCCTATCTACACTGACCATTTAATGTAGTTCAAAGCTAGCTTCAAACTGTGGTGGCCAGACAACAAATTCCAACAAAAGTGTTTAAAAGAAGCCCTTACTGTGTTTCAATGCTATAGGGTTTGTGTAATCACCATCCAGGTCACAAACTGGTTACAGGATTTTCTGTCATCATCTTCACAGCAAAACCGGTTTCTTCAATACCCATTTGAAAGTGCATTAAATGGTCAGTACAGATGGGGTCTCTTGCAGAGCAAGATGCTGTGGACGAATAATTGATGTTTGTCCACAGTATCTTCCAAGTCAATGGGAGTGCTAAAGCCTTCTAAAGCAGTTTCTTCCAAAGCATCATCATCTTAGTCATTGTGGTTGTACACTCTGTTTTCTTAAAAGTTAGTCATCTCTCAGTTTGGAAGAAAAGGTGTGGTATAAATAAATAAGTTGCTATTGCAGAAGTAGAAGCTCTTATTTAGGAGAATATGAAGTTGATTCCTCTCATCAGTGGAACTCATCTAATCTACATGCATCTGGAACAGAAGGCTTTTAGGACAGTTGATCTCTTATCATTTAAACATGCTAATTCAAATTATAAAGCACAAATGAGATATGACAAGGTATGTGTGGATGGGCGACACGCTATGGAATGTCATAAAAATATTGTTTCTGGCCATGTTAAGTCCTCCAAAAGGGAATTATATAGCATGCAGCTGAATATAACCGTTTGGTTTGTTTCACAGAATTTGGAAGAAGAATGGAGTTCAAAGGCACCTGACATTCAGAAAATGATTACCAGAGGAACAGTGTTGTGCAACCTGATCAGTTCTGTGACTTCACCTGCAAAGTCAAGGGGACTAAAACCAGGTATCTTGTGATAATGTGTATCACAATGAACATTTATTAAATATTGCATGGAATAGAAAGAAACAGCCAACTAATGTTTAAGAAATATTTCCCAAATGAATGCACTGTGTGTTCAAAAACTATTTGACTGGTAGTCATAAAATGCAAAAGAGCAGAAATGATTCAAGAAAAATCTGTCATGAGCACAGGCATACCTCAGTTAACATCTCCGATAAACTTATTTTTCTGGACGCATCTAGATCCATTTCAGTCTGGTCTCAGGTCAGGTTTATGGAACAGAGACAGCTTTGGTCACCTTGGCAGATGACCAACACAGAGGAGTGGACAGGGGGAGTGTGTCCCTGTTGGTTCTCCTGGACATTTCATTGGCTATGGTATCCTTCTGGGCTGTTTCGCTAGGATGGGAATTGGAGGCACTGTATTACAATGACTCCATTCCTTCCTGGAGGGACTCCTGGAAGAGAAGGTGGTGATGTGGGACTCCAGTTTGACTCCTTGGCCACTGGCCTGTGGGTCCCCTCAGAGATTTGTTTTGTGCCTCATGCTGTTTAAGATATGCATGAAACTGAGGGGAGAGGTAACCCAGAGTTTTGGAGTGTGGTGCCATCTATATCGGGAATTGGCCCACCCTAAAAATAATTATAATTATTATAATAAGATAGAACAGAATGAGAATCATGTAACTTTCCAGGTATTATTGAACCTCAGTTCTTATTAGTCCTGGACAGTATAGAATGTAGCTCAGTCATGTCAGGAGATTGTTTGATTCCCACTTCCAGCATAATACTTTCTTAATTCATGGTTCCCTATTTTTCATACAGGCATAGCATTTTAGGATTAGTTAAAGAAGTCATATCCCCTGAGTCTATGCAATCTATTGTAGTAGTCCATTGAACCACTGTCTTTCCATATCTCTAAAATAAAGAACACCAGTATGGAAATATCTGGAAAAGACTGGTGCCAGAAAAGCTATCCTCTTAATACATTATTATCCTGGAGAAAATCACAGAAATCTTCTTTGGCTTCTTCAATTTCTGTTTGCAAAAACTGACATTTCTGGCCCTCAGTCCTATTTGTTTACTACTTCACGTATATCAGATTCCAGGGGCTAACTTGCACAAGAAAATCCTGTGGAACACAGGAAAGTCCCAGAGATATCATGTATATATGAATACCTTATGACCCATGGAGGCTACACCATATCTATTGGTTTAGTATAGTGGTTCTTAACCTGTGGGTTGCGGACCACCAGTGGACCACAAGGATGAAAATCTGGTCCATGAGCCTTTCTCTTTATATATTTTATTTTATTTTATTTTATTTCTGCTCCTTTTGCACCGCCTGCCACTCCTTCCCTGTCGCTGACTATGTTCTGTATCAGAAACTAGAGCTGATGTTGTCTATCCAATGCATTTTTTCTGAATCAGCACCTCAAACCAAATCTAAAGTTGACCAAAAAGCTTTTTGGTACTAATGTTGAAGAGTGGTCCCTGGTCAAGTGGTTCCTGGTCAGAAAAAGGTTGGGAACCACTAGTTTAGTAGAATAGCAGGGAACAGCAGAGACCGAAATGTCTTGTTTGTGTGCACTCAGAGTTTCAGGTATTATTATTTTTTTACACTCCTGAATCACAGCAATTTAGCATGTAACCCCACTTTCCATTCCTTAGTATTTAACATTTACCAGTATAACCAGTTGTATAAAGCAGGAAGCCTTGGGGAAAAGCACTGCGGTTTACTAAACACAACCCCTGGTAATTTGTAATTTATACCAACAGTACTTGTACTGAAACTCTGTTGTTATTTGGAAAGATTGAAAAACAAGCTCTGAAATTGCTCACTAAATTAGTTCATTGCACCTGTATTGGCCTCGTTATGAAAAGTGCTAGCAGCGCTTCTTTCAAGTGGGAACTGTAGAAAGGTCTTGGTCTCTTGTTATAAGAGAACCTTACTTACTTGGCGGACTTGTTTTCTCTTGCCATTTCCCAGCTGCCATTAAGCGATCACTCACCTTCCAGCTGGTGCTGGTGGGGTCAATACTTGGCCTTCTCCAAGGCAACCATTAATTCTGCTCCATTAAATAATCATCTTCAGGCTCTCTGATTACATAGACGTGCAGCAAGTTCTACTGAGTTTTCTTACCACCTTCATAAATAATGTCTATGCTGACACTTTATTAAAAGAGAGAAATTTTGAAACTAACTTTATGGTATTGAAAACTGGCAAGCAGGAAAGAAAGCTATGACTGGCCAGTGGTTAGGTCTACAGGAGAAATTAATAGATTTTAACCTGTTATGCAACATTTTCCTGTCTTAAATGTTGTAAGATCTTATCTACAACTAGCTGTACCCGCCACGCATTGCTGTGGCCAACCTTCCATCCCTCCTTTTCTCCTTCTTTCTTTCTCTCCTTCCTTCCCTTTTTTCTTTTATTCTCTTCTTTCCCTTCCCCTTTCTCCCCTTTGTTCCTTCTCTACTTATTCTTGGACTGCAACTCCCAGCAGTCCTCCTGATCTGTCTGTCTATCTATCTATCTAATCTAATCTAATCTAATCTATCTATCTGGAGGATTGCTGGGTGTTACAGTCCAGAAATTGGAAATATGCAGGGATTGGGATCCCTTCATAAAATCCAAACAAAGAAAGCTTGCATCTTGGAAGCAGTGCATTTGGACCATCCTCCTCTCCTAAAGGGCCTGGTCTGGGGGATGCTGGGAGCTATAGTCTGGAAGAGAGTGTGGATATGCTATTGTGTGTTTTGTTTGCTGGGGGAGTCATTTTGCGCATGCGCTTTAGCATCTTTTTGCTCTTTTGACTTTTTAAGTTCCTTCTGCTGTGTTTTTCCGTGTTTTTATGTGTGATGGTCACTTGTTGACCTGATAGGTGTATTGTGCCCGAATTTGGTGTCAATTCGTCCAGTGATTTTTGACTTATGTTAATCCCACAAACCAACATTACATTTTTATTTATATAGATGTGTAGTGTGCTACTGCAGACATAGGGCTAGAGGACAGTTTGGTGAGTGGGTATTGCAGAGAAACCTACATTCAGTAATTTGTATATGCTGGACCACTCTAACAACTACCATGTCAGACTACACAGAGAAGCCATTGAAATCCACAAGCATGTGGACTATTTCAACAGAAAGGAAGAAATCATGAAAATGAACACAATCTGGCTACCAGTATTAAAAAAAACTCTAAAATTATAACAGTAAATGAAGAACAACACTCAAACGCAGGGGAACGCCAGACAAGAAACAATCAGGGACAGCTAATCATCTCTCAACAAAGGATTCCCTCAAGCACTAACAAGCCACACCCGAAAACTGTCAGGCCATCAAATGCTAATCAAGGTGGCCAATTGAAACATTCACACCTAACTCCAACAGACAAGAGTTCTTTCTCCCACCCTGGACTTTCCACAGATATATAAACCCAATTTTCCTAGTTTCCAGCAGACCTCACAACCTCTGAGGATGCCTGCCATAGATGCAGGTGAAACGCCAGAAGAGAATGCCTCTGGAACATGGCCATACAGCCTGAAAAACCTACAACAACCCAATTTGTATATGGTTAGCGATTTCTCAAAGCAAAAATTGCATACTCTGGTTGAGTTCTGCGGGACAGAAATATGTAGCATAAGCTGTTATAAAATAGCAATGTGAGCAATATAAAAGGGAACTCAATTTCCTCTCATCTTTCAGTGATAGCTTGTTCCTACCTAAATGATTCTTTTGCAGTAAAAAAAGGTAGCCATACAAGGGATTCCCTATTCTTGGATGAATGACAAATGAACTTTGTTTCCTTCTCATTCAATTAACATGATCCAATGTTCACTGAATGCAGAGGGCAGTGTAGGAGTTAGTACCTACACACTCTCTCAGTTGCTAAGGTTATTCTCCAAACATAAGAGGGGAAAGCAAGAATGTGCATTTCTCAGACATGGAGGATGAATGAGCTCTCTCATTCTTTTTAGGTCTCTCCACTAGTGAGATCTTGTTGCACCATGCCCTTCCTTATTTAAGTCTTTAGATCAGTGGTTCCTAACATGTGGTCCACGGACCACCAGTGGTCCGCAAGAACAAAAATATGGTCCGCAGCCTCATCATTACTACACTATTTCCTCAAAACCACACAGCAACAAGAGTGACTGGTCTCGTGAAACTCTCTTAGATATGATTTTCCGTGGGCGAGCATATGGTGACTACTGGATGGCATTTATTCTGAATCAGAAACTAGAGCTGATGTGGTCTATTCAGTGCAGTTTTCTGAATCAGCACCCCAAATAGCCAAACCAAAGTTGACCAAAAACTGATTTGTTTACTACAATTATCAGTATACCAAATCTACGTGAGAATCTGTCACAAGTACAAAACATACATATCACACATTTATTGCGAATACCTGTTGTTTGCTACTTGCAATCTGTAACACAATTTCCAAGCATTGTCATCCTTGTGGTAGGAAGCTTGTTTTACCATCAAAAGATTCTACGGATTCAATCAGAGGACACACATCTTTGAAAAATAGCCTCCTTCTGTTCATAGGAAACCAACTGTAAATAAAAATATGAAATTATTTAGTGTAGACTTAAATGACTGGAATAGTATGTGTGGTAATTTCTTAAACTTTCTGCAGAATGACATGAGTGAATATACAGTACAGTATCTGCTAAAAGTGGAGGATTTTCCGTTCTCCCTATGGAGTTTTGTTGTCACTATAGTGTTTCTGAATAAGATATATTGAATAACCATAATTCCATCATGGTTATAAGTACTGATAATACATTATTAATATATCTCACACTACTTATCCTAAACAACCAATTATACAAGGCATGTCACCTACCAAATACAGATTTGTGATGTACAGAGCATTATGCGGAACGATTGCTTGCTGGTTAACATTTGAGCATGGTGTCGTGTTTAGTATTGAACTAGGATTTCTGGAGACGAAAATTGCAATTTCATCAGGAAGCCCGCCCGCCCGCCCGCCCCCGGTGCTGTTTCCAAAAAATAATGGATGATCTAATCACATTTTATTTCATTTTATATCTAATTTGACTTGTATTACTGATGGACCCTCGATGAATGCAATGTGACCACTGAATCTTATACGTCTCTTATTTCAGCTGTAAGTGGCTTGGTATTAAATGGTGAAGGAGCAACTGTAGGTACTCAGGATTTCCTGTCAAACAAAGGTGAGTAGTAGCTAAGAGCTTTTCAATTAAATACAGAGGAGAAAAATAAAATTGCTCATAATTTCCCTCCTCTTAATAGGACTTTCTAATTAGTTGGCAATTTTTGCTCATTGCAGTATAGATTCCCATAGAATGTCGGTGTGCAGGGGCAAACCTGTGCCAATTAATTGAGAATCAAGAGAAGACAGAGGATGCCTGGTCTTCCCTTCCTCCAGCAAGTGCAAGTTATAGCAGGGCTGATATCTATGACAGCTAAAATTCATTGTCAGAAAGGTCTACTTTCCATCTAATTTTCTGAGATATCTAAGTTGGGTGGCTACATATTGTGTAGAGCTCAACTAGATGTGACTATGAAGACAACTGGGTATTCACACAATCAGTGTTTCAACTGTGAGGAGAAAAGAAGTGGAGTCATGATTTCCATTGGAAGAACGACTTAAGCTGACCAGTTTTTCTTACTCTATTATTCCGATCCAAATCCTATCCCCTCAGCTTTAATAAAGTTTTTTTTAACTATTCTCAGAACTTAAGATTAAGAAGGACGTCAACAAGCTGGAACATGTTCAGAGGAGGGCTGTAAAAATAGTGATGAGTTTAGAAATCAAATTCTGTGAGGAACAGCTGAGGGATCAGGATATGTTTATCCTGGAGAATGTGTGTGTATATGTGCCTTCAAGTTGACTGTAAACATATGGAGATCCCATGAATTTAATACAGTTTTCGTAGGCAAGGGATATTTAGAGGTGACTTGCTATTCCTTTCCACTGAAATACGGCCTACAAACTAATATTCTTTGTTGGTCCTCCATCCAAGTACTAACCAGGTCTGACCCTGCTTAACTTCCAAGATTAGATGGGATCTGGTGTCTTCAGTATTTATGCTATGAGCTATGGAAATGATAGCCATCTCTGAAGATTTGAAGAGGCTGTCATGTGGAAGATGGAGAAAAGAGTCCTGCATCAGAGCATATGAACAAAGCTAATGGATTCAAGTTACAAGAAAAACATGTTGTTATCCAGACCTTCGGAAGAACCTTCTGATGGTTAAAGCTATTCAACACTGTGTTTTGAATGAGGGTTGATTCATCTTTGCTGGAAGATTTTACACAGAGTTGGAGTGGCAACTGGTTGTTCAAACAAGCTTTTGATAACGCCTAGTCCAGGCATCTTCAAACTGTGGCCCTCCAGCTGTTTGGGCCTCCAACTCCCAGAAGTCTTAACAAGTTTGTTCAATTGTCAGGAATTCTGGGAGTTGAAGGCCCAAACAGCTGGAGGGCCACAGTTTGAGGGTGTCTGGCCTAGTCCCTATTGGTTCTATGCAAAAGTTATGCAGCCTTGCCCTTGTTCCATGGTTACAGCTCTGCACTTATCCCTTTCCCTTGTCTTACAGTAGCTTACTGCCACTTAGTTGATGAGCACTGTTATTTGAGTTTTAAATTGCTGTTTTATATGTCTGTATGTTTTATTCAATTGTATTTTATATCGTGCTTTATTTCATGTATTGTTTTTAAGCACTTGTGATGTGTGAAAGCCTCCCCGAGTCCCTTTGGAGAGATGGTGGCGGGATACAAGGATAAAATTATTATTATTATTATTATTATTATTATTATTATTATTATTATCTGTATAGGATGCTTTAGTTATGGATTTTTCTCCCTCACGGGTTAGACTAGATGACCATAGGTGTCTGGCCAATTCACTCACACCAGAAGTGACTTGCAGTTTATCAAGTCGCTCCTGACATGAAAAAAAAATGTGTACCCCCTCTCTCTCATAGAACTGACCACAGTCCAGCACAGCATGTCAGCAGTAAACAAGAGCTATGATGACTTGGGGACAATGCTGAAGAAAAAAACTTCAGAACTGGAATCCATGCTTTCAAACATGCAAAACGTTCAAGAAGAATCAAACTCAATGATGGACTGGTTACAGAAAATGGATACTGCTACAGCCAAATGGGAAACGGCTCCTCTCGACACTGAGTCAGTCAAGGAACAAGTGGATCAACATAAGGTAATATCTTTCTCGCTCTGTTTTTAAAACTATGCAGGGGTATAGTTATTGAATAATGAATATTGAATTAATGATTCAATATTCAGGAAATGCTGAATATTGAATCATTAATTTTCAGAGTGAGCCTTCTATTCAGAGAAATGGAGAGGATGTTAATGCGTGTGCCCATATATATTATCACTTTATACAGGTTCTTTGTGGAAATCTCATAGAAGTGCCTATGGGGAACATGGGATAATTGGGATGATTGCATACCTGCAATAAAAAGGGGGTATACTATATCAGCTCTGACTTCGACTGGCTTCCTAAATGGATTAAGAAACCATCTTCATGAAGAATCCCTTCTGTCAGCTATGCTGATCTTATATGGTCTTAGACCTAACATGTTTGTTCTTTGTAGCTTTTTGAAACAGAATTGAAACAGAATGAGAATAAAGTGCAAGAGTTGAAGGACAGAGTTACAGAGCTATTGGAGAAGAACCCGGACTCTCCTGAGGCACCAAAATGGAAACAGATGTTGGAGAAAATAGGTATTACAGTGTGTTTGCTGTCAGCAACGAATGGGGCTTGTAATGGGTGTACTTGGTTCATTTAATCGTTTACCCGCTGCCTGCTGCTATTTTGGGACATCTTTCACTACTGTGCCATCATTATTTACAACAGCAGAATTGCCTCTTTGCCTCCTGTCCCTTGGGCATGCACATCCCTCTGTGAGCAGGCTCTCTGTTCATACATTATGGCTAGTTTAGGAAACTTAGTTTCTAGTTTCCTGTAAGCTGAACTATGAACATTTAGAAATCAAGAAGCATAGAGACCAGTGGTTCTCAACCTGGGTCCCCAGGTATTTTGGCCTACAACTCCCAGAAATCCCAGCCAGTTTACCAGCTGTTAGGATTTCTGGGAGTTGAAGGCCAAAACATCTGGGGACCCACAGGTGGAGAACCACTGATCTAGACATTATGTGATTTGTATATGAAGGTATACAAAGGTATTGTTTGATGTGTTCTTTTAAAATATCAACTTTATTTTGCCACAGATTCCAAGTGGAAGGAACTGAGTCAGGTAACAGCTGATAGACAGAAAAAATTGGAAGAGTCATCAAATTACCTGACCCAATTTCAGACGACTGAGGCTCAGTTGAAGCAGTGGCTGGTGGAAAAGGAATTAATGGTCAGTGTCCTTGGACCACTGTCCATTGATCCAAACATGCTGAACACCCAGAAACAGCAAGTTCAGGTGAGCTTTTGATTTCAGTGCACAGGACTTCTGTTCTCTTTAATTAAAATAATGCCACCATGACCTCTGAGTAGCACTCAATCAGTAGGGATTTGTCGTCAGTAAAATGTATTCGGCTTTTTCCTACACTTGTCAAACCCAAGACTGCACTTGTCAAAAGAAAATACAAAGGGACAAATGAACAATTTTTTTTGAAAAAAATACATCTCCTGTCCCTCAGAGGAAATAATATTTATCATAATTTGCCATTATTTCTATCAGTGTTAAAATTTGACTTTTTAAGCATTTCAGTTCCAGATGTAAGATGAGGTTTTCAATCCTATTATTTCATATCTTGCTTAATTTTTAATGATATATTATACACAATTTGATATTATAAAAGACATATATCTAGATACATTTCATCATTACTAAACCCATTGAGCAGGAAACAGTCAATCCTTGAAGCTGCAAGGCTATTCAAGGTGATCAATTGCAATATTCACACTTGCCTCAATCAGACGAGTAATTTCTCCCACCCTGGAAATTCCACAGATATATAACCCTCACTTGCCTAGTTTCCAACAGACCCCTCAACCTCTGAGAATGCCTGCCATAGATGTGGGCGAAACATCAGGAGAGAATGATTCTGGAACATGGCCATTCAGTTCGCCTTGGAGGAGGGGGGTTAGCAGATTCTTTTTTTGCACGGGCTTTAATTGTGCTTCCTTTTTTGACTTGGGTGATGGTTGGGGGTTTTATGTAGGTACCTATCCATGTGTGTAGGTTTTCTGTAAACTGTGTGACCCACTTGTTGATCTGGTTTGCAGATGAATTGGACCTCTAGAAATTGCATTTTTCCTTCATTTTCTTTTTCCATTGTGATGTGGATGTTTGGGTGTATGTTGCTAAGGTGGTCCAGGAACTGTATTTCATTGGGTTGCTGTGGGTTTTTCAAGTTGTATGGCCATGTTCCAGAAGCATTCTCGCCTGACATTTCACCCACATCTAAGGCAGGCATCCTCAGAGGTTGTGAGGTCTGTTGAAGACTGGGAAAATGGGGTTTATATATCTGTGGAATGTCCAGGGTGGGAGAAAGAACTCTTGCCTGCTTGAGGCAGGTGTGAATGTTGCAATTGGCCACATATTTAATTTTGTCTCTAATAGCTGTTTCACTTAGAAAACTAGGATTCTCAGCTAAAACATGCATTTCCTTGCACTTTTCTGATGTTAATTGTCACATATTCCTTCTCTTCAGATTCTGCTGAAAGAGTTTGACACACGGAAGCCTCAGTATGAACAGCTAAGTGCAGCCGGACAAGGGATCCTGAAAAGACCAGGGGAACATCCACCTTCTCATGAAACAGTGAAGCAGCAACTGGCTGCTGTGACAGAGAAGTGGGGTGGATTAACAGGACAGCTGAGTGACCGGTGCAGCCGAATTGACCAAGCCATTGTCAAAAGTACAGAGTACCAAAACTGTCTGAGAAGGCTCTCTGAGAAACTTGGTGCCTTGGATAATAAATTGAGTCAAAGTCTGGCTATAAGTACCGACCCTGATGCTGTGAAGCAACAGCTGGAACTGGCCAGAGAAGTCAAAGAAGAAATAAAAAAGGAAATGCTGAATATTGATGCTGCTGAGATTCTGTGCAAGGAGTTATCAGAGCTGGTGGCTGAAGACTATTTGAAAGCAGAACTTGCCAGGCAGTTAGAAGGCATTTTGAAACCTTTTAAGGATATGGAACAAAAAGCAGGTGGGTAACAAAACAAGTGAGACAAAATAAATAAAGAACCATGGTAGCGAGGGGACAAATGTCTTTGTTTATCCTTTTGAACAAAAATGAACTTTTCACAAAACCAGGTTTTGATTATTGCCCAAACCTTTCAAAACATTGTCTAGGAGGAATCAAAATTATACACAAGATCTGGTTTGCATTTTTGCGGGATCAGTGGAAACAGCTATAATTTTCTGAATTATGCCAAATATTAGATCTTTCCAGTTGAGATGCTAAATGAAATATGATTGGTACATGGCAATTCCTATGTTATGACTCAGTGTTCCCTTAATAGCTCCTTTGTGTGCAGACATAATTTAGAAGAATACATATATTTCTCCATCCAATGTATGTTTGTCTTAAACATATAATGGTTTTAAATAGATTTATTGTGGGATTCCATAGGAGGCCCTGGTGGCACAGTGGGTTAAACTCTTGTGCCGGCAAGACTGCTGACTGAAAGGTCGGCCGTTCAAATCTGGGGAGCGGGGTGAGCTCATGTCTGTCAGCTCCAGCTTCTCATGCGGAGACATGAGCGAAGCCTCCCACAGGATGGTAAGACATCTGGGCGTCCCCTGGGCAACATCCTTTCAGACAGTCAATTCTCTCACACCAGAAGCAACTTGCAGTTTCTCAAGTTGCTCCTGACACGAAAACAAAATTCCATAAGAAGAGGCCTTGGGTTGCAGGTTCAGTCAAGGGGTCCAGAAAGAGGAGTCACAACAGACTTAGCAATAATTTGTGGGTGCTCTTTCTCTCATGGGGTTTTGATGATGTAGCGCACATTCAAAATTTTGTAAAGTATATTTTGATTGTGCTGGGTATGTGCACCTGCTTCTCAAACTTTATTTAAGATTGTGAAATTATATTCCAAACCAGCATTTTTCAAATCAGCCAACAACCTCTGCTGATGAACACAAATTAACCACATTGTTTGCCACATATGTTGTGAAAGTTGTAATAGGACAGGGATTCACAGCTGTGGTGAGTCCTTTCTAACACCTTAAGGGCTGCGTAAACTGCTAAAAAGGACCACATTATGAGCTACCTTTGCCTTGAAATGTAGCATTTTCCTTGGACTAGATTAAAAATATTTTTTGCTATAGTCCTAATGAGACATGGATTTTCATATTATGTTGTTTTATCCTTCTGCAGGAAATCATATTGAGCAACTTCAGTCAACCTATGTTAGTTCTCATCAATTCCAACAAATGTCTAAGGACTTTCAGGTCTGGCTGGACAAACAGAAAGAAGAACAGAATCGGTCCCGTCCTATATCTGCCAGGATGGATTCCCTGCGGTCATTAGTTGATGATCAAAAAGAGTTCAAAGCAAGGTTGTCTGGCGAGATTGGTTCTTATGAGAAGATCATTGCTGAAGGAGAAAGTCTGCTCCAGAAGACTCAAGGAGTAGAGAAAGCAGAACTGCAGTCCCAGTTAAACCTGCTTAAAGCTAACTGGGAGGAAATGAACAAGCAAGTTAAAGAAAGGCAAGACAAGTTAAACGATTGTGTAGAGAAGGCCCACAGATACAAAGAGCATGTGGAGGCCCTGCAACCTTGGATAGCAAAGTGTGAGAGCAATGTGTCTGAAATCAAGATGGGAATTGATCCAGTTCAGCTAGAGAACTCCATCACTCAGGTGAAGACCTGGCAGAAGGATCTGGACAAACACCAAGGGATAGTGGAGCTCTTGTGTAATGCAGCAGACACGTTCCTCAATGCCTGTGAGACAGATAAAGATGTTATTGAAGAGGAGAAGACACTTCTGATTCAGAAAATGAATGTGGCCACAGAACAATTACAAATAAAAAGAGATGAGTTGGAAAAGATGTCTCAGAAACTGAAAGAGTTTCAAGAATCATCTAGAGAAGTTAAAGAGCAGCTGAAGAATGCCAGGGAACAGCTGGAAGTGCATGAGTCTCTCAAACCCCAGACCTATAGCAACAAACACTTGACAATTATGCAGACTCAGCAGAAAGCACTCCAGATTACAAAGAATCAAGTAGATCTGACAAAAAAGCTAGCCCAAGAGCTGGTGGTGGTGGCTGTGGATTCATCAGGCATTTCTGACCTCTTGTTGCATGCAGAAGCATTAGAAAAGGAATACAGCAACATCAATGAGCAGGTTGAGCAGAAATGTTCCTTCCTGGAATCTAAACTCCAAGGAATTGGCCATTTCCAAAATGTAATAAGGGAGATGTTTTCCCAGTTTGCAGAGTTTGATGATGAGTTGGACAGCATGGCACCCGTGAGCAGGGATCTAGTCACACTGCAGTCACAGCAGAGGGATATCAAAGCTTTCCTGAAAAAATTGGAGGAACTCATCACCAATAATGAAAATGCAAACAAGACATGTAAAGCGATGCTAGCGAATGAAGCAGAAACTTCTCCTGATCTTGCAGGTATAAAAAGAGACTTGGAAGCTTTAAATAAGCAGTGCAACAAGTTACTTGACAGAGGAAGGACCAGAGATGAGCAAATTGAAGGGACTATTAACCGCATGGAGGAATTCTACAGCAAACTACAAGGATTTTCCAAGCTCCTTGGAGAAGCTGTAGAACATGAGGAATCCCAAGGTCCTGTTGCAATGGAAACCGAAACGATCAATCAACAGCTGAGTGCATTTAAGGTAAGAAGGTTCTTTTTAAATTATGGAATTGATTTTTTTTTAAAAAAACACAATTGGATTACAAAATAGTTTTTGTAGATATGAAATGAAAATTAACAATAAATTACGTTATGGAGGAAGTTTTGCTCAAAATTTAAACTCCAACTAGAACCATACAGGTTGAGCCATCCTTATCCAAAGTTTTAAAATCTGAAATATTCTGAAGTTGTCCATATGAGTGTCTGAGATAGTGATACCTTTGCCTTCTTATGATTTAATGTATAAAAATGTTTCATGCATAAAGTGATTAAATCGCTTGCATTAAATTACCTTCAGTCTATGTTTATAAGGTGCATATGAAACGTGATTGAATTTTGTGTTAGACTTCGATTTCCTCTCCAAGATATCTGATTATGTGCATAGGTGTAAATACGGATATTCAACACCTGAAAAAATCCCAAACAATTCTGGTTCCAACTGTTTTAGATAAGAGATATACAACCTGTATTTTGTTCCCTATTGGACTATGTTATTTTGGTTTGTGAATCACATGCTTACAAGATGGATTGTTTTTACACTGACCATACAATGCCATTTGAACTGCATTACATGGTCAGTGTAGAACTGTATAATTCAGTTGGAATGGCATTGCACTGCATTATATGGGTCTATACTGGCCATATGGGCACTTCCAGACTTCCCTCAAATCCATGCCAAAACAGGTTTTAAAAACCTGCTTTGGCATAGAGTGCACATGACTGTGGATTGTGCCCAGGTATTGCGTGGCGCGGTCTCTGGGCATAATCCACACAGGGCCCACACTTAGTAAGACCCAGATCTTACCTAAGATCTGGATCTCATCAGATATTGAATTAATTTGGTTTTACTGGAGGCGTCATTTGGACACCTTTGGTAAAACCAGGACAGGTCCTGGTTTTTGAGCCTGTCTGGATGGGCCCTATAATGCAGTTCACTGCAGTCCAAACTGTATTATATGGTCCATGTAGAAGCAGCCTCAGTTTCTGAAGAATTACTTAAAAGTAATTTTACATTTATCCCAACAGGGGGTGCTTTTCTTCTGCTCTAGATGTAAGTTCTCACACTCCTTTCTCTCTGCTTTCTCAACATGAAGTTTAAAATTTTCTTAAGAATCAAGATACTTGTTCATAAATTAGGGCATTCTCTCTAACTACCAAGGAAGAACTAAAAGGACTGAAAAGTATTTGCATCTTTAAAATGTATGTGCATTGCATCAATTAAGCTTTCAGTTTGAAACAGTTTAACAAAGGATAGGACATCTTCTTAATAGTTTGGAGGTTCTTGAAATTTACAAGTAATTTGAGGATTGTGGCTTGAAATTATAAGAAGTATTCTCACTTCAGTGGCAGGCAACAATTCAGAAATGTAAGTCTGGTCTTTGGAAGAATGTTTTACAAAAATACTGTTTTAAAACATTGCGTCTGACATTTGACTTTGGAGATCCTCGGATTTATGTTTTGCTTTGGGATTTTCTTAAATGGCGATTTTGCTCACATAAGATTATTGATCATTTTAAAGCTAGCTAAAGAGCAAGAAATACAGGAATGCACCCAGTGTTTCTTCCATTTGAGGAAAGCCGTGAGGGCCCATCCAAGCTGGATGAAGTCTGTAGAGTGTGTTTGCTTATCCTTACTTTGAGTCTGGAGATCCACCATACTATTTAATTTAGTCTGAAATAACTTGGGGTTACTTAAGACACTTTAGATTTCCTTATATTGCTGTTATTGTTAAAAGTATCTTGTGAAGAAGATTCAGTTCTATTGCAGTATACAAGTGTTTACCTTAACACATTGCTGGAAGTGGAGTAGCCCAGGAACACAAGCATTGCCTTTTTATGTCTCTGCTAAACACATTTCTGAGAGCATGACAAAGTATAATGAGCATAGTTTCAAGCATCCCACTGTATAGCCATGCAAAGAGAAACAGGGTCTTATCCAGAGTAGCATATTAATATTAAATAATTCTAGATTAAATGTACTGGGGATAAGAGACTGTAATTCCAGTGTTGTCTCTTGACAGCTGGCACACACTCATTTATCAATGGTTGATATTAATTTCATTTATTTACTGCAGATGATGAAATACTAACTCTTCCCATGACAGAGTGAGGTCAAGCAAAAGTCCTGAGTGAAAGCCAAGAAGACTGAGATAAGCATTAGTTTCTGGGTGTTGTCCAGGAGTCACAATCTGGGATCCTGCCAAAGATTAAGTTGTGAGGAGGGTCTATCCAAGCTAGATTTCCAGGATCAGGAAAAGTATGGATCAGTAAGTCAGGGTAAAGGCAAAGGCAGTAAGCCAGAAGCTACACAGTTCTTCTATCAAGCATAGTTCTGTTTTTTGTCTTTTAACCCAGGCTCACATCCAAGAAAGTTGTCTAGCAGATTTATTTTAGTCTTTAGTAAGTACAAAATTCCCTAGTGTCTGAAGGAGAATGAAATTATTCAGCACTGGACTCTAGGGCTAAGTTTTTTCTTCCATAATGGCTTGCTCGGGAAACAGGAATGCAGGTAGAGCTTTGCTGCTCCAGAATCCTAATATCCAGAATAATCCAAAATCCAGAATTGTTTACATGGGCTTTGCTTTCTAGTGCAAGTGTACACAAACTTTGTATCGTGCTCAACATTGTATATAAAATTACCTCCAACTATGTGTTTGAGTGAGTTTGAAACAAAAATAAATTTAATGACTGGACTTGGTCTCATCTTCAAAATATCTCATTATAAATATGCAAGCATTTTAAAAAATTAAAATCCAAAGTATGGACTACTTCTCATCCCAAATGTTTGGATAAAGGAGGATTAACAAGCATATTTACACAGTCCTGATAGGATAGAATATTCCCTTAGATTGTACTGAAGGAAAACCGACTACTAGTTTATTTTGCCTGCAGTCATAATTCACACTTTATTGAAAATCAGAGTACACTACAGTACTGTAAAGTACACACCACTTGTATATCTTTGGGAAGCATCTGGAAACAGCAGTTGGTCTGGAGTGCTGTTGACCATATGTTATCAGGAACTAAGTGAATGAAGCATATGATTCCAATATTATTTTTCCTATGTTGCCTAGCTTGTCATTTCTGGGCTTAGTTAAAGGTATTCATTCTTACCACTAAAGCCCTAAATGATAAATAACCACCGTACTTAAATTACTGCCTACTTCCTCATGTATACTTGTGCTAGTACTTCCCAGTCATCGTCATAGGCTTTTCTGCACACACCCCTACCTCAGTGACAGATAGGATGAGAAGTAGGGCATTTCTATTGATGGTCATGAGTATTGTATTTTTCATTTTTTGTCATTTTGGACTACATTTTGAATTGCAGTAATGGAGGAAATGTAGGAGAGAGTTAAAAAATGAACAAATAAATGATTTTAATCAAGTGTAGTCCTGATTGCTTCTGGACAATTTACTTGTGTTTACGGTGGGTCCTATGCAGCAGCAGTGCAGAAACAGGGACACTTAACAGGAAGAGACAAGATATCAGTTATGGTTGGGCATGTATTGACAAGAGGTCAGTTATGCTTTGGCTTTCTCCATTTATGAAGGTGTTTGTTTTCCACTGTACATTGGAACATATGGCTGTATTTGAGGGGGGTTCTCATGCATTTTGGAAAATTAAACAATCATGTTAGATGCATCCACTTTTAAAGTTACCAGGAGTCTAAGCCTCATTTAGTCCTATTCCTTCTGCCAATATATGGACAATGATGTCATTTACAGAATAAGGAAATAATTGGATTTCTTTATTGCAACCTAAGCTATAACTGACACTTGTGAAAGAATCCCCTAAAACCTTCTTTTTTCCCCTCACAAAGCATGGCCCTATCCCTGATGCCTGACTAATTGGTAGAATAACGGTAGGATGTTAGGGAGCAACATCATACCTATATTTCCCTCCTAGTGTTTTGGACTTAAACTCCTATTATTCTTAATAGCCAGTAAGCTGGCTGGGATTTCTGGGAGTTGAAGTCCAAAACACCGGGAGGGCTAAAGGTTGCCCATGCCTGCTCTTGAAGCAGAAAACACCCACACTGTTAAGTCAATCTCTGAGCGAAACTTTCCTGAAGTCTTGGTATCTAGCCCTATGTTTGCCCTACATCTCAGGTTTCAACCGTAAGTCACACCTGGACATCCAGGGACTTCCAAGTTGGTAATGCAGGGTAAAACCTGATCCTCTTAAAATATCAGCTAGAGGTACAAACAAAATGTCAAGAGAAAATGCAGCGAGAACATGTACAATCACACAACAACCCAGTGATTCTGGTCGTGAAAGCCTTGGACAATGCATAAACTGGTTAACCTAGCTTTTCCCCATGCTAGGAGAAATTGGGGGATGCTCCAGAGTTTCAGTGAAACTGTAGCAGCCCCATACTCCTGGGTAGTATGTACAACTACATAGGCTCTAATTCAAAGCTAGCTGCCACTGGTTCCTTTTCCTATGCTCCGTGGTTAAAGATTCATGTTGTGACTGTTTTGCTGACATCAGAACAGAGACCTGCGTGACCAATGATTTGGAGTTTATACCCACTTCTCCTTACTCATGTGGGTGCTTTGGTGATGTCCCCAAAAGCTCCCTGAAGTGACTGGGAACTCCCCTGAGCTCTTCACCAACTAAGGGTGTCCAGCTAAGGGTGACTGTGCAGTGGGGCTGAATGGGCTCAGCCTGATGAGATGATCTGGACTTCACTCCTGTTGCTGCCACAGCTCAGGAGTAGCACATGTAAACAGCTCAGCTGAATCCAGAGCCAGTATGAAGCAGGAATGCTCCAGCTCTGCCCCAGATTTCAGCATTTTTTGCATACTTGATTTTGCATGTTAAAAAATTACATTGTTTTTTTATGTTGTTAAAAATGCTCCGTAGGCTCATTCATTCCCTCTCTGACATCTTAGCATAGAATGAGTTCACATCATGCAACCCTGCATTTGGCAGCAGTTACAGAGACCCATAAACCTCTATATGTTGGACTGTAAAGAT